TATAATTGGTGGGCTACAGTATGCTTAGGAAACACTAGGCTTGTTCGTCCAATCTCCGATTGAATGAGAGTAACAGTTATGCGATTCATATTCGGTAGAATAGCTTCTTTCATCGTATGTATTCTTGTCGTAGTCACCATATTAGAAGCAAGCTTTTTAATGAAAATAGTAGTATTAAATCCTATCTATAGCTCTACTACCTGTTACTAATTAATTAGTATACAACAGGAATTTGCACTTGAGGAAGCTCTTTTCCTACTGTATATCTCCATGGTCTCGGCGTTACCCGTTCAACATTGTCTACATAGAGTAGGACGAATATCTCGCTGCCTGGAAGTGGCAATTAGTTCATTTTGACTCATTCCATCTGCTCCATCAGCCCCAACAGCTGACAATGCTTTGCCTTCATCGAGTAAAGCCGTGGGTCAGTGGCGTTTGAAAAACGGCCGAGACATGCAGTGAGAATGGACCTTCGTACTGTATGTACTGTAAAACAAGATCCTCGGAAATTCCAAATCAAGTGGACAAGTTTGAGTAATGACTTCGGGAGTAACGGTTCTCACGGCTGTGCAGGACAATGCGATAAGGGCCTTTTGCATGCATCGAGCAGGTTTTCTCTCATCAGCCCTTGCAGATCCCACCGAACAAGCAGCTCATTCCTCTTTTAGGAATGAAGCTAGTCCACCTGCTGTTCACTGCCACTCTGCCAAAACGCCATGCGTGATAGATCAACCATTGAGCTTGTGTCAGACCCGTTGATTTCAGCCCAATGGACCTGTCCTTTTGTCTTGCCCTTCCCTCTTGCAGCAACGAGGCCGCAGATCTCTGTCACAAGGATGTGAGACCATCGCCTCCGCCTCAATGTTGCGCCAGCCCCAGGCTGATCCCCTTCAGATCACCAAATTCTGATTGGAATCTCCTCTTTGTCCCCAAAATTAAGTGGATATTCATCTGTGGAAAGGACGTGCGTTCCATGCTTGAAACCGTTGATATTCTCGGAGCACTATCGTCCACGGGGAGCTACTGGTACACTGCCTTGTTCTTTGCGCCCTCGGATGGAATATCTTCGATCGGAATATTTAAATACATCAGCGGCGTTCAATGGGTCGGAAGCGGACCCACCAAGTCATTCTTCATTTGGAGATCATATTCTTCGAGCCATTCGAGATTATGATGAGTCATGATTTTGAGAGTGCTGATTGGACACTGTGGTCTAGGAACGTGGAGAAACAAAGGTGATGTACATAAGCCTGTGACGTCACACACACCATGTGGTAATCCCTCTTGGGGCGTGATCGTTGAACTGAGCCACTCGCCATGGGCTGATCCCTCAATCCACTTCGGTATATGTACGCTTAAGAGGACTTCTTTTCCGATATTATCCACTGGGGATTTACCTGAATAGTACATAGGGAGCGTATGTGGGAAGGTTTCAAAAAGGGGGCCCTCTTACCACTCTCCAATGCTCAGATGCCTTCTCACTTCCTCAGTGTACAGTATGCCGAGTTGATGATCGCTGGTATGCGCCAGGAATCCCAACTGCCTTGATCTGAAAATCAAATGTGTACTATAATGTACCTTTCATGGCAAACTTGCCGTCCACACCGACGTATTCCTTCTCAGTACCCATATACTGATGTGGCGAGACTTCCAGGTTTGATGATGGTTTTGAGTAAGTGGCTTGTGTGGTTTGCGTTTATACATCAAAGATCACCTGACTGTCGAAAGGGCAAACAAGACGATTATGTCGTTACATCTCCCTTGGTGTAAAATGATAAGCTTTCGGGGACCAGCCGCTGCCACAATATAAATATTTATGTTCTTCAAATGAGTAAATAAAATTCATTAAAATAAAGACAAAATACCTTGAGTGTTTAATCTTGCTGTGTTCTATGCATGTACAATCTATAAGGTTGTATCCATATAAACTTCGACCCCGGGCAGTCCGAAAGGAATCTATGTATGAATCATTGAGAATTTTTACATGGGCGACCTCTGTAATATAACCGTAATTGCCATAGAATAGTCATAGACATAACCTTCTAAACTGTAGTCATGTAACAGTCAAAGTTGAACCTTGGATGCGGTGTGGTCGGCTACGCTTGATCATGATTGGCTGGCATCTCATGCCGATCAATGTCAAGCAAGTGGATCCTCTCACTTCTCAACTTCCAACTTCTCCCCTCACTACGAGGTGGTACTGGTACGTTCTAAATCCATTTTCTAGTAATTGGATTCACCTCCATTTTTCATTCCAAGACTTGCGATGGTCTCCATTGATGGAACCCTTTACTTGTTTTTTCACTTCTTTCCTTTTATGTTCCCCGAAACCTGCTTGAGTGGGGAAATGCTTGACCCACCCCGTCCCCCAAGACCCTCTCACAAACCTGCCATCAAGTTCCAGGTCAAGATACACCATTGCAGCGGGTTTCCCGTTACCGGCAGAGTGGTCTGATCGACCTGGTGCCCTGGCTCACTTGCGGGAGCCCAAACGTTGCACTCATGCATGGCAACAAACCCTCTTAAGCCACCACGTACAGAGACAATCTAGCCTGGGCCTCTGTGTCGAATAGAGGAGTCTGGCCTGGTACACGTCTCCTGTTACCCAAACCGGTGTGATCCGTGTGAGCGCCACATTTCTAGACCTTTCACGGGATTTGCCTGGTTCCATCCCTTCTCCACGATTGGTGGGATCATGATCGAGCCTAGTGGGAGCGTACCAAGTTCGCACTCCATTCCATCCACGCTTTCCCCTTACGGCCTCGGCGCCGCCCGTCGGGATACACAGTCCGTTCTTCCTGTGGTGCATGATGGGCCGAGTACCTGCTGGGTCTGTGTACGCGGTCCTTTGTAATTTTTCCAGAAGGTGGAATGTTCATGCCCATCGACCTCTTAGCCAGGTAATCCAGCCTGTATTTTTTCTTTTTTGTTCTTTTGTTTTTTTTTCGTTTCCAACAGTTCGCTCTCGCTGCTCCCTCCCCACCTTTTTTTGTCCCCTTTCCCCCCCCCCCTTCAACCCACATTAACCCACCCCTGGCAGTGGCAATCAAACCCGCGACACGGCCACAGTATGCGGCTACACAGTATAATCTTGTAAATCCGCCGACAATACATCTTTCCTGCTGCAACGTCCAATGACATACAGTCTCGGAATCTAGCCCAATGGCGTAAAATACGTTCCGTCTTGTCCGGTTTAGCACGATCTCTTAGGAAGAAGCCACACTGACAAATTCGTGTACGCCATGTGGGCTTGATGACCCGACGGCATTGCCAATGTCTTGAGATCCCGTGGACCCTCAAACCTCAGGTTCTCTTCTTTTCCTCGAGGCTTTGTACATTAGCCCTTTTCGGGATCCACTGGATGACAAGCATTTGTCACTGCAGGGGCATCTGAGACGCAAAAGATCGTCGTCTGGGCGGCAGCGTGCCCCATCCTGAAAAGAAATCCAGCCCAATCCCAAGACTTGACTCGGTATGCTTGACAGAGGGGCCGCCACAGAAATCCTCACAACAGGGCCCACCGGACCAGGTATACCCCTCGACCCGCTCGAGCTTCCCTGCTCCGATCATTCCCAATCGGTAGAAATCTGGGATGAAGAATCCTTGTAACCTTCTGTGCTTGACGCAACATCTCCTGATCCCGTCAGCCACAGCCAAGAAGTGTATTGGGGCGTTCAAGCCTCTTTCCACTTTCCCATCCGCCACTGTTTTGCATCCACAAGAACCCTCGAAGGCGTTGGGCGTTCGTCAGCCGGACGTTATCTTTTTTTTTTTTTTTTTCGCCTTTTTTCTTTTCCCTTAAAGAAAAAAAAAACGTCTCTGCCTTTTGCCGTCTCCACAAGATATCTGGTATATCTGGGTTATTTGCCAGACCCGTGCGTCCTTTGTCAGATCCTATTTTAGTGTGCGAGAGTCTACTTCACTGAAGCCACATTTGATCCCCCTCATCTCGGCTTTCCTGCATTGGGCATCCTAGTTCGCTTCGGGATAAATTCGTGACGCCTATTGTCCGTACAGACGTCTTCACACGGGCTCTCCCGTTGCTGTCTTCTGTGGATCAAAGTTTTTTTTTCCCCTCGGAGTCCACGGACTTAATCCCACAAGGTACGTTCTCATGTCAATCCCCCCCTAAGCCTCAATTCCGTGCGAAATGTCTCCCCCAGCCCTATAAGTACGAGCGAATCATGCTATTGGCGGAGTTAGTTTCCCAATTCCTTTGTGTCCATCTCGGTCTAGCCCTATGTCCCTCTACAATACCTTCCTTTCTTCCAAGGCCTTTGGAAAGGATATTGATAGAGTGCTTTTCTATCCTCTCGCGCTTGAAGGAGGCGGCGGGGAGGGGGGGATTGACATCTGGACCTTGTCCCCACTCAAATCATTCTCTTTGCCCCCTTTGCTCCCATATGATTCGATATACTCCCGTACTTCCTTGTTTATATCCTTCTTCCCAAATTTTTTTTTTTTTCGTTTGTGAAAGATGAGCCACACAGCCCAATGGCTTTCCGGACGGCGCTGTCTAGCCCTGCTTAAGCGCGGGCAATACATTCAGCCTGCACAATGCTTCCCCCCTCATCTCATCATCATACCCAATCTTTGTTTTCTATTTCCACCTTTATTGATTCCTTCTTCTTTATTTTGACGTTTCAACCTTGAGCATTGTTGTCCTCGCACCAGTGCTGCTGGCTTTTATTTATATCCACCCCCTTCCTTTTTGGTCATAGTCATTGATTATTAACCCCTACGCGCATATTGAGCAGAATTATCGACTGCTTTGATCATTGCTGTGCGGTTTCAGATACTATACTATTCTAGTGTTGTACCGGTCTCCGTAGACCCAAGTGGTCTCACTTGGGGAACTCTGGGCATCTGAGAGGTTAGTTGGATAAGATGTTGGATTCAATTCTCCCTGGCTTAATATATTCTTTTCTAGAGAGTCTTTTTTCTTTTTTTTTTACCCTTTTTTTACCCATTCCATTCGACTTAGCTCACTACCTGGCCCCATGGGCGATGTTCCTTCAGGCAAGGTCAACTCATCTCGGGGGGCAGAAGGGACCACTCTGGCACCAGAGCCGGATGCCTCGAAGCCTACCCCAGGATCAGGTGAGTCCTCCCTCAACCGATCCTGTGCAAATTTCTTCGAATAGAAGCGCTGACAATATCCGATCTTATAGCTACCGAGAATGCTGGTCATCCTACGAGACCGGCGCAGGCCAACCAATATTCCAACCCTAGCTATATGGGACATGGGCGATATGAGCCCTCGTCCATGATCATGAACCATATGGCTTTTCCACTGCCAAATCCTCAGTCGCAACCGTCGTCATTTGAACCACATCTTGCGAATCAATTCGCTCCTGCCCCTACCCAAGGCATTATTTATCCAATGCAGTCAATGAGCCCTTATCCCGGACAGACCCCTGGAGGGGTACCATATGGCATTCCCTACAATCCGGCTTACCCGCCATATAGCCTAGCGCAACACCCAGGAACAGCACCACATGGTGGTGGTCACTACCCGTCATACGTCGCAACGCCATCCTTGCAACCCATGAGCACCGGACAGGCCCCTATATACGGGAGTGGTTATTACGCTCACCCTTTTGCAGCTCCATATGGACATGGTACACCTCCCTTGACCGGCCCAATCCAGCCACGACCCCAAGCGCGCCAGGGTTCACGGGGACCATTGCCTGCGAACACCCCAAAAGAAGACAGACGACTCTCAGAATTGGATTATGATGTTTCGAAGACTATAGTGGATGGTTCGAATCCTTCGAGACTGGCACAAGGTCCATTACTTGCCGGTATGTTCACCCGCTGAACATTGGCAGCGGACCTCGAATTGCTGATGTGTTGTGTGCTTCGCAGACCCAGTTTCTCCCCCCACCCCGTGTCGACCTCTAGCACCCCACGAGGACCACCCCGCAAACCCAAACAGTCCGGTAATGCTCTTTGGGTCGGAAATCTCCCGCCGGGAGCCAATGTGATAGATCTCAAGGATCACTTCTCCCAGGATGCGACCAATGATATCGAGAGTGTGTTTCTTATCTCCAAGAGCAACTGTGCATTCGTAAATTACAAATCAGCAATCGCGTGTGCGGCTGCACTGGGAAGATTCCACGACTCTCGGTTTCAAGGCGTCCGTCTGGTCTGTCGACTTCGCAAAGGTTTTACAGTTCCCGGGTCAGGGTCTGCGGGCCAGGCCCCTCGGCGTTCCGAGGAAAATACCGACATCCCAGACGAGGAGCCCTTGGGCGCCACCGATTTCAAGCCCGTTCAACCCTTGGAAGATGGGACTCGTTCATCGGATCGGTATTTTATTGTGAAGAGTTTGACTGTGGAGGATCTCGAATTGAGTAAACAGAGTGGGATCTGGGCCACTCAGAGTCACAATGAAACTAATTTAAATGAAGCGTTCAAGGTGAGTGTTCCTGTCTGACCCTACAATCTTAAGTGTCCCGTCCATATCTGATCTCCGGTTGTACATTTTGCAGACCACTGAGCATGTGTATTTGATTTTCTCGGCCAACAAATCTGGTGAGTACTTTGGATATGCTCGCATGCTCTCTCCAATCAGCGACGATGAAGAACTGGCGTTGGAGATGCCGGCTCGACCGGAACCTGTCCCAGGCAATACGGAGGAGTTGGAAGTGACACCGACCTTGGCCACCTCGACGGCTCCCAAGGGTCGGATCATTGATGACTCGGCCCGTGGCACGATTTTTTGGGAAGTGGAATCGTTGGAGGATGAACATAATGACGCCCGTAGTGAGAAAAGCGAGGCCCCGGTGGAGGAGGCCGAGACAGATGGCCAGACCTTTGGCAAACCATTCCGCATTCAATGGCTCTCAACTGGACGAGTGCCCTTCCACCGTACTCGTGGGCTCCGCAATCCGTGGAATGCCAACCGCGAGGTGAAGATTGCCCGTGATGGGACCGAAATCGAGCCGACGGTCGGCCGAAAGCTGCTTCAGTTGTTCCATCAAACCTGAGGTGCTTAATATGCCCTGGGTTCCAACGATGAGATTTTGGCTTTATGATTTGATGGCGAGAGGATGGAGTCTGAAGTAGGGGGCCCACGGAGTCCAGGGAATGCTCCCCTGGTAGTGTTCCCCCTCCATCCTCTCCCAGTATACATCTACTCGTGAATATATATGTATATTTGTGGAAATGAGAGATTGTGTACTGGAAAAACAATCTATGGGAAACGAGTAATACACGATGCATGTCTTTTTTTCTTCAACTTTCTTTCCTTTCTTCCTTTCTTCCTTTCTTATCTTGTCTTATCAAGACATTCCAGTGTCTCCATTCTTTTTCAACCGAGGTACACTGATCCTCGCCTATTTCTTTGGACCTTGAATCTGGTCGACGCTGTATATTTATGGATGAGGCGTGTCTCTTAAAAGAACTATATTCTGGACGGTTTCGGTGTGGGGGGAGGGGGGAGATGGCCTGATCGGTTCTAAATTAACATAATTTCAGATCTACCTACCCGTATTGAGATGGCAAGTGGAGGCCCCTTGCCCTAATTCACCAATCACACATCCCAAACAGGAACTAAGCTTAGCCCGAAACGGCCCACGGTCAGATCCACAGCGAATCAGCGATCCGATGAGGAAATGTTCGACATCATCAGCCGAATCCGCTCCACTCGGAATACGACCATAGGTGGCGCTACCCCAGATAATTACAAGGTGATGAGTCTATTAGCTTAGCTGATTATCTTTCCCCCCTCTTTGTCATTCTTCATGTGGTGCCACACACAACATCCCCTCTTTTTTGGATTTCCATCCACATTCTCTCTTCCTCATTCCATTCCACTGAACCCCCCCGCCCCCCCAAAAATCATCTCGTCTTTTCTCTTTGAAACTCTTCCCCATCTTCACCGCTGCTTGGGCTAAAATCCCCTTTAAGCAGTTTCGACTTCCTTAATCCCCAGCTCACTAATGAGAAGGGCGGCCAGTCCGTCCAGATTCTACCCTTCTCATCCCTGAACGCCTTTGCAATCATGGCCAACGATCGTTCCACGTCTCCTATCAACGTCCCAGAGTCTGACTCGCGCCCCAGACGGGGGTCCATCGCGTCCGGCCTACCCTTCACCGACCTTTTCTCGAAGAACAATCAACCTACCAAGGAGAGCACCGCACAGACGAGCCAGAGCCAGCGACGGCTATCAATCACCACGCTGGGTTTGTCTGGCTCGCCGACCCAAACCTCTGCTTTCGGAAACATGTCCCTCCGTCGTGGTAGCCTGTCCAGCTCCTGGGGCTCTGCTCCTAACGAGGATGCTGTGGCAGAGGATACAGAGGGGGGCTCCCCCAGCTCCCCATTTGCCCGGCGGGTCTCCTTTGGAGCACAGGCTCTGCGGGATGCCCGGTCCGGCAGTATAGGCAATGGTAGAACTCCCCCTTCATTACCGACAGCGCGGCCTACTGCCCGCTCTCCTGCAAGTACCGCCACTTCTCCCCAGGATGAGAGATCTAACGTGTCTCGCCGAGTAGGCGAAGGCTTTAACTGGTCCGAGGCCCTCCGCTCCCGTGCCGAGCGAGCCCCTTCCCTCAGTGGCCCCGTCTCCCCCCAGTCGGCCCGTCAGTCGCACCATCAGCGTGCGGCCTCCATTGCCTCCATGGAGCAGCCCATCCGGGAAATCCCTAAGCAGCCTAAACAGAAGAAGCCCGATTTCTTCCAGGAGAAGATCTTGCGGGGTGACTTCATGGACTAGGCTGATGTCTACATTACAATCTTTCCCATCGCATTTCCTTATGACGAATCTGTTTAGTTGTACCATTCTCATTTGTGTTTTTAGCTTTGTCGCATGGTATTGATATCAAAAACTCATGTTTCTCCTGGTGCTGGATAGCGGAAGGCTAGGGGGTTTTTTTCTTCATTATTCTTTTTTATTTCCTTTCAGATGGACACCAAGATTATATTTTTCCTTCTTCGTGGATACGTTTGGGGAGGGCGCATTCGAAGTTCGATTTTCCTTTTCGTGTTATAACCTCAAGCTGGTACTGAGGATGACATATGCGGCCCAAATTGATATATGATGGAATGCAGAATTTATAAGCCACAATCAATGAATATATATTCTAGATTGTATAGCTATCTATTCGTAGCTTCATGCCTCGGGGGGTCGAATTTGTATATACCAGAAGCACCCAGGGACATGACTAATGTCTTTGCCATCTACCCCCTTGTCCTTCCTACAATTACCTTTCCTCATTTTCTCACCCTGTCCAGATTTATCCGTATTCCTTGTAAGTCAATGCCATTCGCATCAAGTTAAGCCGCAGAGGGACCGGCTCCGCCAGGATCTGCATCAGCAGGGTTCTCTGCATGCAGATGGCCCGGGGTCTCAGCTTGCTTCTTGTTGGCCTCGGCGTCTTCCTCAAGACCATACTGTTCCGCCACTCGTCGGTCCATGAGCTGATTCGTCGTGATCTGATACTCTGGTGCCGGGGGAGTCCACTTGCTGCTTTTCCAAGGTGGCACCCGCATCACGTACATCATGTCCATCTCCTCAAGGGTTTTATCCTTGCCCTCAAGAACGAAGAAGTACACAACTAGCACCGCGAAGAAAAGGCACCCAGCAAACACATATCCATAGGCAAAGTCGATGTCTCCCGTAATGAAGGGAGTGAAAAATCCAATTAAGAAATTCCACATCCAGTTCGAAGCTGTGGCCAGTGCCATCGCCTTGGCTCGATACCGCGATGGGTACAGCTCCGCCACAATAGCCCACACCATCGGGCCCCACGTCATGGCAAATCCGGTGATGAACAGACACGCAAACACCACCATCGCCTTGCCGGCACCCGGGGTGTTTTCTGGGGTCTGCACGTCAAGGGAGAAGTGTCCCACTGATGCAAATACCATGAAACAAACAAACATCCAGATGCCACCGGTGATCAGCGACTTGCGCCGACCGAAGTGCTCGATGACATACAGACCTCCGAACGTGGTACCGAAATTGACACCACCCAAGATCATCTGCGTGACATAGGTGTTGCTAATGCCAGCTCCGTTGAAGATTACCGTTCCCTAGATGAAAATGATCAGCCTTCCACCGCCTAGCTTCGCTTCGGAAGAACCACGCTTACATAGTAGAAGAAGTAATTGGCACCAGTCAGCTGCTGCAAGGCCTGAAGTACCATACCGAGAGCGATCCGATACGGCATCCTTGGGGCCTGCATCATCTCAATCCAATCATAGATCCCACCTCTAGTCCCCTTCTCGGTCTCCAGCTGACCCTGGATTTCAAGAATTTCATGGACGATGACTCGATGATTTTCTGGCACGCCGTATAGCTTGGACATGGTGGTCTTTGCAACAGCCACACGTCCGTGCCGGTAATCATATCGTGGACTCTCGGGGAACAGGAGTATCCCAAGTCCCAAAAGCAGACCCCAGAGGAAGGTGATGCCCAGGGGAATTCGCCAAGACGCTGTGCTATCCATGCTTTCAGTGCCATAATTAATGCAGTATGCAACGAAGATACCCAACGTGACAAACAACTGGTACGAACTAGAATTGCGGTTAGTTGCAAGAGCCCCCCGCCCCCTCCCCAGCAGCAAGACTTGGAAGGTTCTCACTTACCAGACCATAGCACCTCGAATATGTCTTGGTGCAATCTCGCCCTGATACATGGGGACTAGCAACGATAACGATCCTACACCGAAGCCAGTGACGAAGCGTCCCATCATCATCTGATACCATTTGCCGTAGGGTGCAGAGATCTGGATGATGAGACCGACGTGCAAGATAATACACCATGAGAAGATCGACCATTTACGGCCAATTCGGTCAGCCAGAGGGCCGGCCATAAGAGCTCCAAAGAGAGTTCCAATTGACAACTATGGATTTTAGAGGCATATATGGTTAGATAATGGCTGACCCCGGGGGAAAAAGGATCTGGATGCAAGAATTCCACTCACCAGGGACACGATCAGCCCAGACCGGACGTTGCTGAAGTAAAAAGTTCCATCGCTCTGCTGTTGACCATAGCGATGTTTGTAGTCATTCATCTCCAAAAACCCAGAAATCTGACCAGTGTCATATCCAAAAATGACACCGCCGATGGAGACGAATGCTCCCAAGGTCAATGATCGCCATGTCACCCATGGCACAGGGGACTCGTCAAACGAGCTACTTCTCCGTTTCTCGTGATCGGCCTCCCCGGCTATACCTGTTGGAGGCGGGGAAGGCTGCCCTTCCCCCTGCTTATTGAAGAACGGAAGCTTCATTGGAAGAATACAAGGTGGGGTTGAAGTTGGATTGTAATTGGGAACATGAAACGGAACCGATGTTGAGTTTGCAGAAAAGCAGCCCTGGATGACTGGGTATATGGAACTATTTAAAGCTCCATGTTTGGGCGGAGGTGGCTCTTATGATTCTTAGTTGCCACGATCCTTGAAGAGCCCGTCATGGGTGGAGCCCACGATCATATAGTCAATACCTGAAGGCTTTGGAGAGCGTGTTTGCCCAAACTGGTCTCTATACATCTGAGATACCCTCTTCATCATTATGATAAATACCACCCACAACTGCATATACTCTTCGAATTTCCCCAGCGATTGTGATTTCCATTTAGCCCTTGTGCCACCCGAAGCCCATTTCGTCATGTCCCCTTAAGAACACGGAACATGTGGTGCAGCGCTGGTGGCGGGCACGAAGTCGTGACGTCAATCAACCAAACACAATATTCATGTTCCGTAGATGCATTACTCATTCTAGAAGCGGCGAAGAAGGGAGTTAGAAAGCCTAAATAGGTCCAATGTTGAATTTCCGAGGTTGAAGAGAAACAAAATAATATTATAATCGAACATGATCAAGAAATGAGATTAAATTCAAAAGCCAAGAATGAAGAAACCACCCCCACCAAGATTGCACGTCACACAGCTGAAGTACGATCAGTATGGAATACCATTGGTCATCAGTTGGAACTGATCGTATCCCTTGGTAGATCGACTCATGTATGACTTCCTCACCAAGTCCCGCATGTACTCGGCGGCGTCCCTCTCACTCTTATCCAGAACAAATCGATCACGGAAGTTCTTGAGGGTCTCGGGCTTGAAGCACGGCAGACCGCTATCCAGCATCAAGGACACAATGTGCGAAAGCTTGGTGCAATATGGGCGCGAGGCTAGGAAGGCCTTGACCACCATCGACTCAAACCAGCGGTAAGGTTGAGTGGCAGTGGGATTGAATGAATGGGTTCCGGGCAGACCGAGTCCGGGGTTGCCGCTAGGATGATGGGCTGGATCGTGAGTTCCGCTGATCACCGCAACCATTTCGGAAGTCAACTTGAACGGTGCTCGCTCGAAACGCACACCACCGGGGGCAATGTCAAAGCAGAAACCAAAATCGATGTGGATGATATGTCCAGCGTCATCGATCATGATGTTGCCGTTATGTCGGTCCTTGAACTGAAGTAGATAGGAGATAACAGAGTAAGCAGCCATGCTCTTGACGAAGTTGGTGCGTGCCTCCTGGAACCTGATAGAGTCTTCGCCTCCATATTTGGAAACAAAGTAGTCGTACAGTCCATTTACGGCTTCACGTCCAAGCATATCCCGAGAAATCGAGTTGGGCAACACATCGATCACACCACAACCAGGAGCCGTTGAGGTGACCCGGTATGGGAAGACCCAGACATCGAGCCCAACACTGGAGAAGATGCTTCGGAAGGCTGCAATCATTTGCAGAGCAAGCATGTCCTGACGACAGTCATCGCCGACTTTGAAAATTGCCGACTGCCAAACCTCATAAGTCTCCTGTTCAGCGTATGAAGTTCGCTTGGCCACGTGACGAGACTCGCTGCCCTGGGGGCGAGCTCCCTTACTAGCCTCAAGGCGCGGCCGGGTCTTTTGAATTCGGAAGGTTGCCATGTAGGGCGCTTTTGCGTGGCTCTGTAAAGGCTTGCCAGATTTCCGGTCAATGCCCACCACCACACCGTCAGGGTTACTGGGGAGATACACTCCCACTTCCACCTTGATCTTACGGAGCTCCTCCTCGATCTTCTCCTTCTTCTCGGGTTTACTCTTCTTTATATAAGGCCGAAGCGTTCCAGAGATACCCGTGATCTCATTGAAGAAGGAGAACTCTCGTTCATAGAAAATGCGCTCTTCATCGGAGAAGCTTGAGATCAACGACTCAATGAACCGATCCAGCGTCGGCTTCAAGGGATCCGGCTATGAGATCACGGAGTCAGTATAATGATCAAAACTCGAGTTGCAATAGGCTTTGCACTTACCACCTGCGAATCTTCATCCTTGTAAGAATTGGCTTTCATGTTCCAAATCACCTGGTGAGCAAACAACTGTGACAATTTGGCCGTCTCGAGAATGTAGCGCTCGACATAACCCAAGGCATCGTATCGCAGAGCTTGGACCAGCTGCGGTACAAAGTAAAAGCGCACATCAATTGAATGACTCTCCAGCGCCCGCATTGCGTACTGCAAGATGAAGGGATGGTTGCCGTAAGCGGGCAAGAAGTAAGTCAATGCCTCTGTGGGATTGACCGGCGCCCAGAATAGCAGGTACTGCAATACGATTAGCCATCGGGCATGAATAGGGCGAATATGAACACTTACTTTTAGCTGGAAGGTGACATCAGATGGCAGAGACGACTCGAACATGATCTCTAAAGCACTTGCCTCTGGAATGGCTTTCTCGGGGAAGTTCAAGATCAACCACCGGACATCACTTTGCATTTTCGCCGATGGGAACCGGGTAGCAAGCTGAATGGCCAGGCCCGGGCTCTCCGCCCAAGCAAGTCGAAGGAAAGATGTAATACCCTGTTATGTGGCTATTAGTATCGGATCAGAGCGATCGCATGATTGATAGGAAACTCCAGAACATACATCTGTAGTGTGCTTGCCGCCAAGAGATGGCATGTGATGTTTCCGCTCAGGCTCCAAGGGAAACAGCCAAACGCGAAGACGCGATCTTTCATTCTCGATGAGAATTTGAGTCAACTCTTGCTTGGCCTGAAGAGACTTGTATGCTCCGTTGGACTGGCTAGCTATGTCTGCAGTGCTCTGCAGGGTGGAGAGGACATCGCCAAGAATTTTGTCCTCGGCTTTGATCTGTAGTCGATTACCGCCAAAGGACCACCTGGGTGGGTATCTAAACCAGCTGAGCGCGGCAGACAGGATTTGATCTTTGAGCTTCCAAGATGCTGCCGGGTTCCGCGGGCTGAAGTGTTTCAAGACGTTCAGGCCAAAGAGAACAATGCGGAAATGGATTTCTCGAGCCAGGGGATGACACTGGGTTTTTGAGAGACCAACGACCGTACTGCTTATCAAGCGACCAAACAACTGCTGGTCTTGTAGATTACCGAGGCGGATGGCACTAAAATGGCTTTCAAAAAACTGCAGAACACGCAGATGGGGCGAGAGTATGTTCTGTGTGGTTTCTTGCTTCTGGAGCATCATTGCTTTGTCCGTTGGCAGCAGCTCTATCTGGGTATGCAGTGGATCGGGATACTCAAAGGATGTATCGAACAACCCCTTTCGGCGATGAATGCTCCTTTCCCAGGCTTCCACCACCTCGGCTAGGATACGTGGCTCGATATTAGGGTTCTCGTGGATGACACCAAGCCACAGAGACACTCCCAGTTTGATGATTTCCTTGGTGAAGATCTGGAATGGCAAGGCTACCAGGTAGTGGACGACTGAAAGGCGAGGTTTGCTGCTACTGCAAATGAAACCAGCTGCTTGCCGCAAAACATCTCTAACCTCAACCAAAGGAATGTCCTCTCCATCCATGCTGCGTTCAAAGAGGGCAGATAGGGAGCGGTCGATATCAACGGCGGACTCAAATTCAGTAACGGCTTCAAGCTTCGGACTAACGCCAAGATGGAATCCATTGTCTGAAACAATCGAGGAAGATACCTCGGGGCGACGGTACTTCTGACGAGTTGTGTAAAGAGCCATGAAGTCCGAGGCGATGTTGACATCACGTGCATTGTAACCCTCAATTGATCCTAGTCGCGGGTCACTTTGCGGTATCAAGGAGCCCATTTCGAGAGCGAAGGAGCGGCCCAGTGCAATATGCCCATAGCCGCCATCATCATCGAACTCCGAAAGGTATGTCTGAAGTAAACCCTTGATATCCAGTGGCGCAATATTCAAGACCGCGGTCACCCATGTTCGTGCTCGGACAAGAAATCGGTCCAATGTCACTTTTCTCAGCGCATAGTTATCAGGCAACTCAACCTTGACAATTCCCATAGGTGAGACCAGAGTTGGCTTCCATTCAAACTCATCTAGTTCTCCTTGTAGACAAGATGTCCACATCACGGTCAGGATCTCAAGCAAGGCGAAAAGAGAATGTTTCTCGCAGAGCGCAGAGGGACATTGACTGATAATTTTGTCGGTACAGATCGTTGCAATACTTTGCACACGTTCGATGCGGTGGCAGCAGGCTACCAGGTAAGCGGCCAACTGCTTTGAAAGGTACGGCGCCGAAAAATCGTCATATTTCTCGGACAAGGTGCGTGAAAGATAGCAAGTCACGGTTTTCTCGGCGACAGCATTCATGCAGACAACCATTTCGGGCGTGGCTAGAGAAGGATCGCGGAAGTACCGGAGGATCTTGGTGCAATCCCCTGAGGATGCGCGGAGACTTTCGATTAACAGGACGGCGTTTAGAAAGACGGCTCGCGGGTAATCCAACCGTTTGACATCAGCTTCGCGACCAGCCAGCTCTGCAATCAAAGTTCGCTTTTGCTCCACTACTCGCTGGGGGCCCGTGCCTCTTCTGAGCACGGTATTGAGTTCGACGTCGCTCTCGAGCAACTCCATCCGATCCTCCGCCACAAGAGGTGGAGAATGACTTGCCAGCAAACGGAGTTCCCTAGAATGTTCGTGGAAGACACTGGAGTTGAGCGTGATACCATGAATGGCAATGTTGAACCAGGCATCACGGAACAACGATAAGGTGGCATCATCATAGTCTAGCACGGGATCCGGAGTCTCCGAAGAGCGTTTGACGGACGAAACGAGCAGAGCCAGAGGTTTCAATAGAGGGGTGATATCACTGGGAGCGAAAACAACCTCTGCGTGACGTTCGGCGTCGAGATCAGGGACATCTCCTTTGTTGACAATACTCTCCAATAAATGGGTCAGATAAATTGCGTGGAGTGCGGAATGCCGATCCAAAGAAACAGAGAGGTATGCCATCGCACACTGAACCGCATCAGAGATTATCTGCAGCCCCTTATGGGCACCATCGAGGTAGATACGGGCGTAAAATTTCAGCAAAAGCTGGAACTCGGCCTTGCCGCTGCTCAAAGCAAGAACAGCCGTCTCTTGAATGATATAGGCGTCCACCGCAACATTTATCTTGCCAACTTTCTGTAGGAGCATGGATTGCGCCAATGCACTGATTTTGTCATCATCACAACTGGTGGCGATAACCACGATAGCGTGAACAACATTTCGATAGACCAAGGCTTCATTTTCGCCAACAGTGGATATCGATGCTTGGCTCCCGCTGCTTGGCTGGGCGTATGATGCCAGGTTATTTGCAGTACCGGTGACATCCCCAGTAAACTGCTCCTGTGCCGACTGGTCGGCATTAGGGCTTGGGCTCAGTGCATTTCCTAGTGAGTAGAGGGTAGTGATGACGGCATCTTCGGAGAGAATACTGAGAACCTGGGCGAGACAGCGAGCAGCCACGGCGACCACAGAGCCAATAGAAGCACCACCCTGGGTTAAAAACCTCAACAGGCACCTCCTTGCAATTGAGGCACCATTCGGTGACATTCTAGCGAGAATCGCCATGCACTTCAAAGATGTCATAGCCAGTTCCGCACATGCCATTTGCTGGGCGTCGGTCAAAGATTCTTCAAGCCAGGATAACAGAACGTCGTTATTAGCAGCGTCCTCGCCGAGCACAACGCAGTTAAGAAAGCCGACTAGAGCATCCCCTTTGACAGAAAAGGCTAGCTTTTGTTGAGACGGAGAGCCGACTTGCAAGTAATCAGAGCCATCCTCCAGAAGGTGAATTTCCTCGCTGATGAGGTCCGTAATGCGTTCGATCAAAGCAATATCAGACTCATCATGGCTCTTAGCAATGCCAACGCCAGCCATATACTCATCCAGGAGTTGATTATCGGACAAGTTCTGCGACCCGATAAGGGATGCCGCACATGATTTCACAAAGCGCATGAATCCCTCCTGGAGCAACATGGCGCCCAGAGGCCGCCCGTGCGCCGCGTATCGTCTGGCATACTTTCTCCAATCCTTAAAAGCGCTATCGGTCCAATTGGCATTGCGAATAGTAGAGGAGGCTGTCTCCACTGCAATTAGAAACGACTCGGAGAGCATGGCTCTCAGATGATCGATAATCTGAAGCTTCTCTCTCGCGGTCCAAAACACGGCGTGCTTTGCTGAGGCCTCTAGAAACCCTACGAGTGATACCGCAATGGACAAAATGGCGATCGATTCATGCACTACCCCTCGTCCACCGGCTTCGGATGTAGAGTAATGAAACGGCGTCACTGAACTAATGACCTCCGCACAGTTGTTGAGGTACCCCGTGAGACCCGTCACTGCTTCCTTGCGCAATGTCGGAAACTTCAAGCCCATGGACAATAGCGCCGATGTCAGGTTGTGTGAGAGCGTTTCCCATGGCGACGGCTTGATGCTCTGGAGAAACGGCGACGGCCGAAACAGCTGACTGGAGGACTCGGGCAGATATTGGGATAATTGAGTGACTAATCGCTGAGCGTGGTCAAGCTCATTGACAGACAAGGCAGCTTTACAAAGGGCTAGCAGGACATCGAGTTCACGAATTCCCTGCCGAGGTTAGTCTACGTCACCCCCGAGGGCTCCAAGGAGGGGAGAGTCAAGCTCTTACCATGGGAACTCGAGACGTGGGAGCCTGATTCTTGAGTATACCATTGAGAGTCCCATCAGTCGGACGAGCTGGTCGTGACTGCTGAGCGAGGCGGTCAAGACCCGATGCATCCTGAGCTGGCGACTTGACAGCCAAAGCCGCAAGCTTCTCGAACGCCGAGCGTCTGACGCCGACCGACAGGCTAACGGTACATCAGCAGCTGCACCAGATCAAATTGGAACGTAACTTACCCGTCCATAATTGATTTCTTTTTAAGTCCCTAGAATATTTGTGGGCTGAAGGGAGTGTAATATGGGTTGGGGAACAGGTGACATTTGTATGGGGATTCAGGGAGAAAGGGCACGTGTTTGGACGCGAACCTTGGTTAAACGTAAGAATGTATGAATGTCCCTGATCCAAAACAGTGTACAGTATATTTTTGTCTGCTAGATACATATGAATTACCCAATATGCATACTATTTTATAATAACCATTACTGTTCAATAATCCTATGCCATTCAATTCTAGCGGTTCTGATGTTTTTCTCGTTTCCTAATTTTGACGGGGGCGGAGCGGAGGCTCTGGGGCAAAGAGCCTCTGGACCCCCGACTCCAAAGCTAACTTGTGACCAAAGAGCTCTCTCCCTCCTCAACTGTCCTCCCAGCTTCGCTCCTTTCTCCCATTGATTGGTCTACTCAATTTGTTTTCGATTGTGGACGGCGACAAGGAAGAGACAAAAAGAGACGAGAAAAGAGAGAACGGGGAAATAAAACCGCAGCCGCTCGGGGCTGCTCCATTACATTCCCGACGGTGCTCCTACCTTTCATGTGGCAGTAAGCCTGTCCAACCAACACACCTCATTGGTCTGTGGATAGAGTGTCGGAGGTGCGGTGTATCAAAACCAGCACTATGGCACCGAGAGAGAAAAGTGCGCTTAAGCGGGGCAGAGTGAGTGTTGGGCTTCCCTCTTCGGAGTGTGGTGACTTGCTGACGGTCTTGGGGCATTGCTAGCTCAGTGTGGATGCTGATTCACAAGACCTGAAAAAGCCGCGTCGGTCTCAACGTATATCAAGCCAGCAGCAACTTCAGGAGACACCAGTGGATCACGACTATCTGCCAACTCCGCTAACCCATGGCTATTCAACCGCCACGGACATCCGCAACGAAGTGACGGCCACTCCGCCGGAAAGCCCAAGCCGGACCCGTCCACCCTCGTCGCCCAATCCAGACTTCTCTCAGGCGCTGTCATCACCACCAGGGGACACACAGGCCCTCTCGCAGTTTGTCTATCCCCCAAGAGCATTTGCAGATGAAGTGGAGGATGAAGATGCCGAGGGAGTTTGGGGGTACCTGATCCCCTTAGATGACAAAGTTAGCGGTTCCTTTGTCTTGAAGAGGCGAGATGGTTGTGAACTCCGAGATGAGGCCGCCAAGGAAAAGTCTGGGAAAAAGTATCAGGTCGGTAAGCAAGGCAATGGTCGGGCACCTGGCGGCTACCTAATTGGCCGTCACCCGGAGTGTGGTAGGTGAACTCTTCCTTTTCAGGGCATAATGCCATCTACTAACTCCATTGTCAGACCTGAAGATCGATAGCCCTACGATATCAAACCGGCACTTCCTCCTATTTGAGGAGAAAAGGAAAGGCGATGTAGTAGCCATCTTGGAGGACCTTTCCAGCAACGGAACCTTTGTGAATGATGCTATTGTTGGACGAAATAAGCATCGTGAGCTTGAAGACGGGGATGAGGTTTCTATTTTGAATGAGGCCCGCTTTGTTTTCCGCTATCCGCGCACTAGGGACACAAATCGCTTCCGCCAACAGTATCAGATTCACCGGCAGCTTGGTAAAGGCCACTTTGCGACAGTCTATCTGTGTGTGGAAGGCTCGACAGGGAAACAGTTTGCAGCCAAGGTCTTTGAAAAGCGGCCCGGTGATTCACAGAAGTCTCAGACAGATGCTCTACAGCAGGAGGTTGCACTCTTGAAGAGCGTCAACCATCCCAACCTCCTCTGCTTAAAGGACACCTTTGACGAGAATGACGGAGCTTATCTGATTCTGGAGCTGGCCCCCGAGGGTGAACTGTTTAATTTGATCGTGAGCAAGCAAAAGCTTAGCGAATCAGAAACTCGTCATTTGTTCCGGCAGCTCTTTGAAGGGCTGAAGTACCTGGTAAATCAACTCCGCTACGCACCGCAGACTCATAAAAGCTAACCCGAAGGGTTTTTTTCCAGCATGAACGAGGAATTGTGCATCGGGACATCAAGCCCGAGAATATTCTGCTGGCTGACAAGAAGATGACGGTGAAACTAGGTGACTTTGGACTTGCAAAGATCATTGGAGAAGATTCCTTTACCACCACATTGTAAGTACAGGGCAAGTGCTAGCCTTACCAGTTGTAGGTGCTAATTTTCTATCTTTCAACAGGTGTGGTACGCCCAGTTGTAAGTCCATGGAAACCAACCCACCAACATAGATGAGATGGGCTTGATACTGATTATTTTTTTTTTTTTTCCTTTTCTGTTGCAGATGTTGCCCCAGAAATTTTGCAGGATACTCGTCGGCGGCGGTATACGAAGGCTGTGGACGTCTGGTCCCTGGGAGTGGTTCTTTACATTTGCCTTTGTGGCTTTCCCCCTTCTCGGATGAATTATACACACGAGAGAACCCTCTTACACTGGCGCAGCAGATCAAGATGGGCAAATTTGACTATCCCTCGCCCTACTGGGACTCGGTGGGCGATCCTGCCTTGGATCTGATTGACCGGATGCTTGTTGTGGACGTGGAGAAGCGAATCACAGTGGACGAGTGTCTGGAGCACCCCTGGATGACTGAGAAATATCCTAGCGTCACTGACAGCACTGATGGGCTGACAGGCGCCTTGGGCAACTTGGATTTCTCTAAGCGCAAGATCAAACGGGAGCGGACTCTGCTGAGCAGTGTCAACGACGTCCGGTTCAGCGAGCACGTGGAAGGCAGTGAAACTCCAGTTAAAGTCTTCCACAAAAACAATGCTGATCAGCGTGTCCATAACCGACCAGCCAATGCCAATGCCCGAGAACCGTCCCCCGGCAATCAAGGCAGTCCCAAAGGATTTGTGAATCTGGGTGAGCGTGGTGATCCAACATTGTACGACGAACCAAGGAGTTGATACAAATCAGAGGGTGTCCCTGTGGGTCTCTATTCCTATCTATTACTCATGGGGTTATTGCGTCTCTTGAGGTTTTTGAGGGGCGTTGTGTGCATTTCTTTTGTACTGGATCGATTGGGAAATTGGGCGTGGCTTCGGGTTGAACACAACAGATATGAACTTAATGTATAGTCTACATAGTAAATCCGATCCGGAGTTAGAAGTCCCACAAAGTACTCTGCCAAGGGTAGCGCATATTCTCTACAACGTAGTATATCATGCAATCGTCAGGTACGGATGTTGCCTACACCGACGTGGCGTGATGAGAACCGCCTAGGGCTTCACCCTATCCAGAATGATAGCGTGGTTTTAGATCTCTCTCTCTCCTGTATCAGTATATTGATCAATGTAAGTTTCCTAAAAAACATAACTTCCACGAATCAAAAGAAGTAATGAAACGTGAATTAAGAAAATACGTGCATTAGAAAACAGGGGCAAAAAGCGGGTCCCCTGGCGTGGCCTCATCGAATGATAGCGGAGATTATTATTTTGCTTCCTTTCCCCCTTCTCATCCAACCTTCCCACTTATTGATTCAGAAGGGATTGTTCACTCTTCTGGTCAACTCCTGCCGTCATGGGTCTCTTTGCCAGTTTCCTCGATTCGTTCTGCGAGCACTGTTCCAGCCAGTCCATTTACACCCTGGCTGTGGTCGGTGGCTTGTCCTTTATCGCACTGTCCGTCGTGGTCAATGTCTTGCGCCAGTTATTTTTCAAAAACCCCCATGAGCCCCCAGTGGTCTTCCACTGGTTTCCTTTCGTTGGAAGCACTATCAGCTATGGAATGGAGCCATACAAGTTCTTCAACACCAATCGCGCAAAGGTGCGTCCTCACCCCCCAGTTCGAGACGACGGACCATTTCTAACCAGAAGCCATTGGGCTCGTCTCATAACAGTACGGTGACATTTTCACGTTCGTTCTTCTCGGCAAGAAGACTACCGTGTATCTGGGCACAAAGGGCAATGAGTTCATCATGAATGGCAAGCTGCGCGATGTTTGCGCCGAAGAGGTTTATTCGCCACTGACGACCCCTGTCTTTGGCCGCAATGTTGTCTACGACTGCCCTAACTCTAAGCTCATGGAGCAGAAGAAGGTAAGAAGAAACTTCCGCGACGAGTCTGACCAAACCAATTGCAGACCTGGAAACTGACCATGCCCAAATCAAAGTTTGTGAAATTTGGCCTGACCTCCGAAGCGCTTCGGTCCTACGTTCCTCTGATCACTAAAGAAGTCGATATGTTTGTCGAGAAATGTCCTGCATTCAAAGAATCTAAGGGTTCTTTTGACGTCTCCAAGATCATTTCTGAGATTACTATCTACACCGCATCGCGATCCCTCCAGGGCAAGGAAGTGCGTGACCGCTTTGACTCGACTTTTGCCGACATGTACCATGATCTTGACATGGGTTTTGCACCGATCAACTTTATGCTGCCCTGGGCTCCGCTTCCCCACAACCGCAAACGTGACGCAGCTCAGAAGAAGATGACCGAAACCTACATGGAAATTATCCGTGAGCGTCGTGAGGCTGGTGGCGAGAAGAAGGAGGAGGATATGGTCTGGAACCTCATGTCATGTGTTTACAAGAACGGTGTCCCGGTCCCTGACGAAGAGGTCGCACACATGATGATCGCACTCTTGATGGCTGGACAACACTCCTCATCTTCCACCGCTGCCTGGATCGTTCTGCGTATGGCTACTTGCCCCGAGATCATGGATGAGCTTTACCAGGAACAAATCCAAGTCCTTGGCGAGGATTTGCCTCCTCTCACCTACGAGAGCCTCCAGAAATTGGATCTTCACTCCAAGGTCATCAAGGAAACTCTTCGCATTCACGCCCCTATCCACTCTATTATCCGTGCTGTTAAGAACCCTATGCCCGTGGAGGGCACACCCTATGTGATCCCCACCACCCACAACGTCCTCTCCTCCCCTGGTGTCACCGCGCGGTCGGAGGAGTGCTTCCCGCAGCCTCTCCACTGGAATCCCCACCGTTGGGATGAGGACTCCGCTCCCAAGGACGAGGACGAAGAGCAGATTGATTACGGCTATGGTATGGTCAGCAAGGGTACAAACAGCCCGTACCTCCCATTCGGCGCTGGCCGGCATCGCTGCATTGGTGAACAATTTGCCTACGTGCAATTGGGCGCCATTTTGGCCGCACTGGTACGCCAGTTCAAATTCTCCAACCCGGCTGACCGTGTCGGCATCCCGGATACCGATTACTCGGTAAGTTACTACATCACCTGCTCATCTAAATCTGTGCTAACTCGGTCCCTAGTCTCTGTTCTCGAAGCCCTTGGGCAAGTCATATGTGCAGTTTGAGAAGCGCGGAAGCAAAGAATAGATCGCGCTGGGGCCAGCAGATCCTTCCGAAATAAGAAAAGAAAGAAGCCCAAGATAAAAGAGCAGCATGGACCTGAACCCCGATTACATACTTACATCTAATGACCTAACTTGATGTCGCAGAGGTTAGGGTGACCATGGCCGTCATTACAGATGCACGGATCTTCGCCTTGCCTCGACGTCTTTCAATGAATCTTGCCATTGTACATTACTCTTTTTCTTATCCAATGTTCCTGCTCGTGGCTTGACTTACCCCTGCCGTTTTGTGTTGACACTGTTATTATGTATATCTATTTAATCAAACATCAATTCAAGAGCAAGAATGCCTGTGATGTGCGCTTTTGACAGACTAATGCGATCCAAGCATGCTATAATTTCCCACGCAACCAACGTCACGCCTAGAATAGAGACAAATGGGGGTCAAAGGCTCTTGGGTGATATATATAGTATAGTACAGATAGAGACACTAGAAACACAGGACTATCAAGGCTCAAGAGATATGCAATAAACGCCTTTCTACCACTGGTTTATGCTTTTCTTCGTTCCTCGAGTCGCCTCTTTGCCCGCACCTCCACGCGGCGTCGCTCACCACCATCGACCTTTTGGCCCCGCTTGTCCTCCCACATGCCCTCCTGGACTGTGATGGTCGCAGCAGTTCCGTGGCTTCCCTTGACCGGTTGAAGGAAAGGGCCCATGATCTTAGAGCCTCTGTGAATTTTCATGTGGGCGAACTTCGTAAGTTGGGCGGTTGAGCTGTGCTTGTACTCGGTGGTACCGGGCAACATGTTCACGATGGCCTTCCTCATGCCAGGTGTCAAGGTAGCAGAGGATGATACCCGTTGGGCAGCTTCGGGGTCTGCCGAGGGCTGTTTGGTTTCGTCAGGGATCTCCACCACTCGTAATTGGGCAACGCCGTTCACAACTTGTTTCAGGTCGCCTCCCGGTCCATAAACTCCATTGCGGAACTTCTCACGCTTCCGAATCAGGTATCGTCGCTGGCGGGCGGGCTCAATGCCGAGTTCTCGCAGTTGGTTGGAGTTGAAGGTGAAAAGTTGGTCCCAGGAGGGAATCTTGCTTGCATGCTTCGACATTTCCCGGCCGATTAAGGTGAGGAAAGTCTGGACATCAGGGACAAATGGGGTCGGTGAAGGCACAGTCCGGGGTGCTTTTCCATGGAATGGTCGAAAACATTGCTTCGAGAGACTGACTGTCTGGAAGAGCCGCGAGGGAAAGTTGCGGAGTTGTTGGGTGCGCAGTGCCATGGTCTTCGAGAAGGGGGGCCAGACCTGTGGCCACAAAGCTAGACGATGGTTCCCAGAATTGACAAGAAAGAAAGGGAGGGTTGGAGTTTACAGGTAGACCGGTGGACCAATTGAATTGCGGATGTGACTTGATCTATCTGCTCCTGAGCTTGGAATTTTCGGACGGCCACGGGATCAACGATACTCCGAGAGCATTCATGAAAGTGCACCTCACCCTTGTAACTCCATTGTTTGATGTTTTGAATAATCCGTGACTGAAAATGAATACGTGACCTGTGAATCATACAGCTTAATCGCTGTAAAACTTTCTCCCTCCTTTTCTCCTCATATTCACTCTACGGACACCGCTGTCCATCTCAACCATGGCGGCCTCACCATTCGCCTCTCGCTCCCCCTCCGTGGCCGTCGCATCACCCAATACGCTTAGGCTGAGAGCAACTGCAGTTCAAGACTCATCAGAAGGCGCTCTTGCCTCTAACTCCGTATCCAACACCGACCAAGAACTCACAGAGCAGCTCAATGACGATGTGCGGCATAAATACATCAAAGGTAGATTGAGCAATTATACCTGGAGGTTTCACCGGGCAGTTGATACGATACTAACGAAACCCAAAACAGATAAGAAGCTTGGAGAAGGTACATATGCCGTTGTATTCCTGGGGCATCTCCGAGACGACCCATCGTCCTTCGTTGCCATCAAAAAGATCAAGGTCAATGCCGAATATAAAGATGGGTTGACTATGGATGCGATTCGAGAAGTCAAATACCTGCAGGAGTTGTCTCACCCCAACATTATCGCCCTTCATGATGTGTTCTCTTCCAAAGACCAAAATCTTAGCTTGGTGCTGGAGTTTCTTCCCCGCGGGGACCTGGAGATGCTCATTAGGGATGGAGACATTCAGTACGGAGTAGCCGACATCAAGGCCTGGATGGGCATGTTAGCCCGAGGCGTGTGGTTCTGCCACGAAAACTTTGTGCTTCATCGAGACATCAAGCCCAACAATCTGTTGATCGCATCAGACGGCGAGGTAAAGCTGGCTGACTTCGGTCTCGCCCGATCCTTTGCCGACCCTTATCTCAACATGACTCACCAGGTCATCACTCGCTGGTATCGGCCGCCGGAGTTGCTCTACGGAGCCCGGCAATACTCGGGGGCAGTGGACGTGTGGTCCATGGGCATGGTCTTTGCGGAACTGTTGCTGCGGGTTCCCTTTGTGGCCGGCAATACTGATTTGGACCAACTCTCCAAGATCTGCGAAGCATTTGGAACTCCCACCGAAGAGAATTGGCCGGGGGTCACCCAATTGCCCAACTATATCCCCACGGACCGGGCGCAGCAAGTGCCTGTGCAAGGCCGAGACTTCTTCCTTCGCCAGTTCCCTACGGCTGGACCGGTGGGAGCCGACCTGTTGATGTCCATGTGTGCACTGGATCCTCACAAACGCCATACCGCTCTCCAGGTGCTGCGCCACAACTGGTGGATGACTGATCCCCAGCCAACGCGGAATGAAGATCTGCCACGCAAGTCCGGGGCGAAGAAGATGGGCGACGATTTGGGTCGGCGCGGCGGCGAGATTGACGACGGGCCCTTTAAAAATGCCGCGCGACAACTGGATTTCGGGGCTCAGAAATAAAATAGTCTAAACTAATGACGACATGTGCAATGAACCCGTTTGAGTGTGTGCAGCTGAACTAAATGGATCTCAGGGGAGTCATCCCGAGCATCCCCATACTCCCTATGTTATGTCAGGACTTCTGTTGTCTCTTTTCTCTGAATGTAGGTGTTCAAGGGACCACAGTGGGTCCTCCCAGGAACAAGGTCAACGTGTAAAAACGAAGGGTTCATACTAACCTAATTATCGAGGACGAGATTTGGGGGCTTTGATTTGCCCCCCTTTTTCTCCAACTAATCTTCGTCGGGTATCGTTTGGTCCACTATCTGATCCATCATTGGCCTAAGCTTCCACAGAGGGGCGTACGCCTTGACTCCTGTAACTCCCCCCCTTTTTTTTCCTCACGTCCAGACCATTGATAATCTAGGTTCTAGGCGTATGAACACGAGCAGTAGATCTTCAAGGAGAAGCAAGTAGGGGAAAATCACTGGGTATCACCCTTTAACTGTAGCAATTACAAAGGGTGCAGCAGAACTCATACAAGTACAATGCCTTTATTGTTTCCTGCGGGGGATGAGAGAGACTATTTTCTTATTTTCCTATGAGCTAAAACCGCGGGATCTCTCTTCTCTATCTCTATCTCTTTCCACCCTTCCACTTTGTGCTCTTCTATCTTCACTCTGCGGCTGGACTGCGTCCGTTGCGATCGCAACACATGGTTGTTTGACTCTGTAAGTATCCGAGACTCATGCTCTCCCCCTCCCCCATCTCTATCTCCCATATACACAAAAATCCATGACGGATCTCCATTTCGTCGTTCAACCGTTTTTCCTTCTTCATGATCATGGCGTGGTACTTAGGTGCTGACTGAAGCGTCAGACGCGACTGCTGATCTCAGGATTTCAACCTCTACCTGTCACGACCCATTCACTCCGCATGGCAGTAGGATCCTCATTAGCCCACGGACAAAATTGACCAGAGAGGGATAAGAAAGATGGCGTCAACGTCCGCCCTCCCCCAACCGTCACGGCCAGCCGCCAACCCGCCGACCGTGGCCTTGCCCCCTCTTCCCAATCCTAAACCGAGAAAGAGCATCCCAGCCGGCGATACATCACGATCGGCCTCACCATATCAACAACTCTCCAAATTGCGCACGCCGTCGAGCCCCAAACCTTCCGCAGCCCGATCCCCGCTATCCAATTCGAATTCCACCTCAAATCTCAGCGCCATTCGATCAGCATCCAACGGACGCGCGCCAAGTAGTCCGGACAAACCCTTGCGCCGGACAATCAGCATCGCCTCATTTCCACAGCCGCCCAAGGCCGGAGGAAGTCGCCCCTCAACAGCCTCATCCTTGTCGGGGATCCCCGCAAACCCGGCCGGCAGTGCCAAGCCTAAAAGAAGCTCACGACTCAGCACGGGAACCACCAGCAGCTACCGGAGCTCTAAAACTCCGTCACTGTTGAATGGAAGCGGAGATGGGAAATCCATCCTGGCAGACGCGCGAGATCCAGAGGGGTCTCCGGGCCATAGCAGAAGCTCGTCCGCGCAAGGTTCCTGTTCAACCAGTGCGACAACCTTTGAAGATGCGGAGGATGCCGGTGGCAAGTTGACCTCCAAACCCAAGGAGACCAAGGGCAACGTCATTGTCAGCGTGCGTGTTCGACCCGATAATAACCAGGGAGGCGAGACCCCAAGAAACCATGGCGAGTGGTCAGTGGATGGACGACAGAGTTTGATCTCACATCGAGGGAAAGATGGAGGAGACTACTATTATGGTATGTGCGATTAGATTTTCGCGGGTTTCGTACATGCTGACAGCCAGACAGATAATGTTTTCGCGGCTCATGACAACAATGCCAAGGTGTACGACTCCGGGGCCAAACGCCTTGTCCGACGGGTCATGGAGGGGTACCATGGAACGGTGTTTGCCTACGGTATGACAGGAACCGGTAAAACCTTCTCCATGCAAGGTACTGCCACCTCTCCAGGTGTGATCCCCCTCGCCATCACAGATATCTTCTCCTTCATTCGCGAAACCCCCCATCGAGAATTCCTCCTTCGAGTCAGCTATCTGGAAATCTATAACGAAAAGATCCATGACCTTCTCTCCGCTTCGACCACCAATGGTCCGGCCGCGCCTCAAGAAGAGATCAAACTCCGCGAGGATAGCAAACGCGGCGTATATGCCACCCCGCTCAAGGAAGAAATCGTGCAGAGTCCAACACAACTTCTCCGAGTAATTGCAAGAGGAGATCATGCTAGAAGGACGAGCAGTACGCAGTTCAACGCGCGGAGTTCTCGCAGTCACGCGGTCGTTCAGATTGTGGTGGAGAGTCGCGAGCGAGTGCCAGCGGGCAATTCGCAGGACAAACGCTCTGGGATCGCTCCTGGTGGCGTCCGGGTGTCGACACTGAGCTTGATTGATCTTGCTGGCTCCGAGCGCGCCGCCGATGACAAGGAACGCCGAACCGAGGGAGCCCATATCAACAAGAGTTTACTCACGCTCGGTAACATCATCTCCAAGCTTTCTGATGCCAAGGATAAGCAAGGAAACCCAATGGACAAGGAAGGCCGCCATCTGCCCTACCGGGACAGCAAGTTGACACGGCTCCTTCAACCAGCTTTGTCGGGCAATTCCCTAGTGAGCATTCTCTGTACGATTCAGCTGGTCTCCGGTGTGAATGCGCATTCTGGGGAAACTCTCAATACGTTGAAATTCGCCGCGCGAGCGAAGAATAATATCGTCAGCCACGCACAAAAGGCAGAGGAGGCTTACGGGGCCGGTGGGGCCGACTCTGGCAGTCGAGTTTTACTAGAGCGATATCGCGTGGAAATTCAAGCCCTCCGTGGCCAACTCGATATCCAGGCCAAGGCCCAAGCGGAGAAAGAGCTGAAGTGGGATGAGCAGCAATTTGAGAAGGAGGCTCAGGCGCGCCATGAGGAACAGGTCTTGGAGATGCAGTTGGCCCGGACGGCTCTAAAGGAGCGCATTGAACATCTTAATCGGCTGATCCTGAGCTCCAAGTCCACTGGGGTCAACAATCATGGCAGCCTAACTTCTGCATTTGGTCGTCTGTCACGTATGTCCGCTGCGGAATCGGGCACCCGCTCACTGCGGTCGTCCGCCAGTCAATCTACGCTGGGTGCCGGTCATTCATCCATCAGACCAATGTCTTTCATGTCAGTCAACAGCAGTGATCCTACGGGGCTCATGCCATTCCCAGGTGCATCATTTGGAAATGAAGATGAAGACGACATGGGCGAATTTGGCGACGGTAAAGCGAGTCTGCAACGGCAGGTTATCGCATTGCAGGCCGACCTGGGTGACAAGAATCGATATATCTCCACTCTGGAGCGCCGGCTGCTGCAGGCGCGACGTTCTAGTCATTCTAGGATGTCAGTTGGGGTCAAATCCACCAACTCGACAATTGCAGAGCATCCGGACCTGATGGCCTTGCTCCGCGAGAGGGACATGGAGATCAACGAACTACGCATTCAGCTTGATGATAAGGATCGAATGCTGGCTGCCCTTCGGTCTGCCGCCCGACACCGTGACCTGGCTGCCGTGACGAACGACGCACCGTCGCCCGAACTGAAAGGCAAAGAAGAGTTGGCCGCCTCCGGTGGCAACAGCCCATTGGGGACCAACGGCGTTGTCGATAAGCTCGCCAGCCCACCGTGTCCCGTTCTTCCTGGGAGAAATGAAAAGGACGATGATCGGAGGAAAAACATGGACGAAGTATCCAGAATGCTGGATGAAATGATTCAGGGCCGGGTTGAAAGTGGCCATGGTCATCTTGAGAAAAGCCCCATGGGACATCTCAAAAGGGCCTCCAATGATAGTCGCCGAGTATCGATGTCGGCTGAAGTGCCCGGCTTGAACCCTACGGGGCCTGCTCCAAAGGACGGGAACCCCAGTTCTCCCCCAAGTTAAAATCACCAAGTGATGATACGCCTTATTCTTGTACTTTTTGCTGATTGCTTCCTGTTGATCTGATACCCCCCCCCCCTTCATCTGTACAAATTTGTTATGTTCATTTCATGTGGTTTTTGTTGTACTTTGTGTTCTAGGATTGGAAACTGTCTTCTCGTACGTCGATAGCGCCATGATATTTATATTCGAACCTTTCTTCTTTTCGTCTCTTTCCTTGTTTTCTGTAGGGTTGAGATGATCAATTCGATAAACGTATCAGGTGGGCATCTGCTTATGTCGCCAAGGGGTGTTTAATGTGGCAATGTAGTAATACAAAAAGTAAGATGATGGAAATAATGATGAGAACACGGAATATGCGACACTTCATAATAGATCTCGGAGATCGCATCCAACCACCCCCCACCCCGAGCCGCAATCACGCGGTGATTTCCAGTTCACCTGCTCTGTCCTTAGCATAGATATCTTTCCACTCGTCCCATAATCGCTGCAGTTCCTGCACGTATTTGGAATGAAGCTCATCGATATACGTGTCATCAATTTTATCTCGATTCTTCTGCTGCATCACAGGAATCGGCCGTCCCACCACGATATTTAACGGACGGCGGTAGGGCATTAACCCAACGTCATAATTAAACACTCCACGGGCGTGGAATAGAGGAATGGTAAAACCCATGGTACGCTTGATAAGCATCTGAAGTTTGTGGATGAGTGGATGCTGATCCGAATTGACCTGTTCGTATAGGTCGTTTTCCCCAAAGGCTAGGACGGGTACCAGGTCGGCTCCCGTGCGAATGGCTAGCTTGACAAACCCTTTGCGACGTTTTAGCACCAGACGTAGACTATGAGGCTGCGCATTAAGAGATTCTCGCGCTCCACCGACGACAATGGTGATCGCTCTTCCCATTCCCTCGTTATTTGCACCGCCTCTGTTCAGAAGATTCTCACAGGATTCTCGGGACACACTAGCCAGTCCCATTGCGAGCGCATACTCTCGGTAGAAGGGAATTCGGAAGTTTGAGTCCAAAGTCAGCAAGGTGTTGGTAATGCCGGGAAAAAGTTTCGAGAACCCTAGGGCCTCGGTCCCGAAGGCGGCGAAGGCACCATGCGAAATGATTCCATGGGGATGATAGCCAAATATGTACTTCTTGGTCGGTGGTAAAGGTTCCTCGCGGTGAAGACGGGCAGGGAAATAAGATGCATAGACCGACCAGATAGGAAGTGATCGTAAAAATGAACTTCGGCCTTTCAGTTCGCCAGAGGTCGGTGCGGTGGAGAACAAAGAGATATAGACCAGATAGGGTAAGAGAAGGGGCCAGAATAGAGGAATAGCACAGATGAAGAAAAAACTCGTCACAAAAATGGCAATTGTGAGAGTATGACATAAGACGACAAAGGTTTGCAATCGTCGTTCGAGGCCGATATTCAATGGGGCCCAATGAATTCTACTGAGTCGTTAGCGGCGTTCGTCGGGAGGATAGAAGCCAGATATACCGTTTCCTCTCCCGATTCGCAGTTCGACCCGGAGGGTGCGATCTGCGACCAGACTGAGTGGCCCCATTCATTGTTGAAAATGATGCGAAGGAAGGAAGAGGATCTCCCCGCGTTTGGACCAAGAACCAGGGCAGATGACGTTGATCTATCGATTAGGTAATTTTCACGTGAATCCGGTAGATCGCCTGACCATCCATGGGACATTATCATCCATACTACAGTGATATAAGTATAGAGCGCCAAAATTATATCTCTTATGGTATTGGAAAGTAGAAGAATTCAATGTTAGATGCAATGCATCTCCATGTTGCACCCTCGAAACGCCAGTCCCCATGTGTCTCTATGTACAATGCAAGAAAGTTTCCTCGCTCAAAGAATCGCTCATGCTTTTGCTTTCACCATGAAAATCTGATATGAATCAGCACTGGAACGAAATCAGGAATAATTGCTGATCTGCGTAAACTTACCTCATTTAGAGATTTATCATCCATGAGCGCCCTTTTCTTCTGTGCGATATGTCGGCTTCGGAATGCCTGTCGACCCATTGGCCGCCGCTCCCGTGAGACTGTTGTCTTTTCTAGAGTGGATTTGGAAGGCTCAGACTCTTGTTGAGATGGTGCATCCGCCTGTTCGGTGGAGGTGGTCTCAGCCGCATCTGCCTTTCTCTTCTTGGATTTCTTTTTCTTCTTCGAATCGGAAATCGAGGCGGAATTCTCATCGTCGTCAGTGCTTGAGCGGGACTTCTTCGAAGATTTTGACTTGGATTTGGATTTGGATTTGGATTTGGACTTCGATTTCGACTTCCGGACCGCGGTCGACGAGTCGCTGGATGAAGCATCCTCTTCGTCGGATTGTTGATTATCTCCGTTCGATTCAGAATTCTTCTGACTCTCCTGAGGCTTTGAAGCGGGTAGGTGTTCCACTTTCTCTTGAGCCAGGAGTCCACCGTGGACGAAGCGAACCTCCTGGAATTTCAGAGCGACATATCGGGCCAGTTTCACATCGTCTCTCTTGCGCTGTTCCTGCTTCAACTCCCCATCTGATTTGCCATTCAATCGACCAAGCAAACCCTTGAAAGCATCCAAACCGGTCGGTTCCGTCTCCCGCCCGACACGGGCGCCCAGTCCCAGGGTATCATCCTTGATCGTCACTTTGATATGGGAGTGGCTAGCGGCCGTTAACAGATCAGCATGCGCGGCATCCCGAGCCCCTAAGCGACCACCTGGGGTCCAGCCCTGGGAACTCATAATTCGATGGCCGAAGCCGGTTGTCGACCGGGCCCATTGCGTGTTATTGGGATCATTGGAGATCTTGGTTTTCCTAGAAATGGATTAGACTGGTTGCGCAAGGACTTTATGACCACAAGCATACTTTCGGGGAGCAGCCAAGCCCATGACGACTGATGGGGGGCAGGTGTATAGATTTGAACGTTGGTTGACAAAAAATCCAGGATGGAAAAAGAGAAAAAGTTTGAATTTCGGGATCGACCGATAACGCTGAGTCAGCAGACCGATAAGATCCCCCACCCATGAACCACATCTTCAGAAGACTAGCAGTACGTACTTTCTTACACCATTTGACGACCTCCTTGGCCCATCTTAATTCCACCCGAGATAGCAGAGGAAAAGGAAGGAGTAGCCGTTGGATTATTCTACAGAATCAGGTTCCCCCTAAAAAGACAATCAAAGGAGGTTATCAAATTCTCGGTTTCGATCTCGGGCTTGTTTCCGGGAACCATATCATCCCACTTCAGGGCAATTCTCTCTCTCCACGCATGGAATAGACCCAGCAAAGTCACAATTCTGTGCTTGGGGAGTGGGATTTTCGTTCGTGTTGAAAAAGGCGTGGGACTCTGATTCTCATTTCTCTTTCGGGCTATGTTCAATCTCCGCGTTCTCTGTCGCGATCAGCCTCAGCGAACAATTGCGCTGGTGACGGCGGATCATGTCTTAATCTTCCACTACAGTGCGAGCGATGCCGGATCTGCGACTACACCACGCTGCCAGGTGGAATTTGTGGACGTTGCATCTGCGGATCTCGGGGCTTATCGGCCTTTGGGTGCCGGTCATGGCACTTTGGGCTTGGTTACGCTCAATGAAGACCTGTTCGTTTGTGTTGTCACCACATCATCTCAAGCTGCTACTGTAAGGCCTGGGGAATCAGTGTCTAGAATCGATTCTGTAGATTTCTGTGCGTATTCTGAAAATCTTCAATCTCTACGTCTCCTGTTGTCTATATCTGACACCTACAGACTGCCTCAACCGTTCCGAATATGAAAACGGCCTCGACTATGAATCTGGGGCTCAGTTCGCCGCCGAGGGACGGAACGGCCAGGATGGCCGGGATGTGGTGACCGAGCACCCTTTCCAGGCCCTGAAAAAGCTTCTCGGGGATGGGAGTTTTTACTACAGTCTTGACTTCAACCTCACTGATCGTTTACAAAATCGGTAAGTCCTTTCTCGGATTAAGCAGATCATCGTCTAAACCCAGGATCAGCTCGGATAAGTCGGCGGCATTTGATATTGATTCCCTGGATGAAGACATGCTTTGGAACTCATACATGATCAATCCACTTCTCCTGTTCCGGAGTCATTTGCCACCCGCGGACAAAGCCAAGCTAGATTCCTCTCAGCTGCTAACATGCGTCATCCGGGGATACGCAAGCACGCTGAAGATCCCTGCCACGGTCTCGATTCTGCCCCAAGTGCGGACAAACTTCCCATCCCTCCTGACCATCGTCTCGCGGCAATCCTCTCGGCGTGCAGGCACGAGATTCAACTCGCGAGGAATTGACGATGATGGCAACGTGGCCAATTTTGTTGAGACAGAGTTGGTTCTATGGGTCTCGCCAGGCATTGCCTTCTCGTACGTCCAAGTTCGAGGCTCGGTACCGATCTTCTGGGAGCAAACGCCGGGTTTGATTCCGGGACAGCAGAAGATCGAGGTCACCCGGTCAAGTGAGGCAACACAACATGCATTCAATCAGCATTTTGAAACCCTTGAACTGGAGTATGGAGCCACGCATGTAGTGAATCTCCTAAGTGAGCTTAGATCTGGCGAAGCAGAACTATCGGCCAAATATCGGCAACACATTGCCCGCAGTTCCCTGAGAAAGAAGGAAGACTTTGAACACCATAGCCTTCTACGGCTGACAGAATACGACTTTCTGGCCGAGACTCGTGGTCCAGCTGGCTATGAAGCTAGCAATCAAATTAAGCATGAGCTGGCTGAGTCCTTAGACGGGTTTGCCTATTTTCTGTCCGAGGACTCTACGCGATCTGCTACTTCTCTTTTCGAAAGGGATGACGTTCCCGGTGCCTCCTCGGTCATCCTGCAACAGGAGGGGGTTTTTCGAACCAACTGCCTGGACTGCCTGGACCGAACGAACCTTGTTCAGACAATTATCAGTTCGATGGCATTGGAGTCATTTCTAGCACACCAGGGGGGGAGGTTTGGCTCAGATATGCAAATGCGTCATTCAACCCTTTGGGCTGACAATGGCGATGCCCTCTCTAAGATCTATGCCGGTACTGGAGCTTTAAAGTCGTCTTTCACCCGTCATGGAAAAATGTCGCTTGCGGGGGCTTTGGCTGATGCCCGAAAAAGTGCCACTCGACTCTACGTCAACAACTTCACCGACAAGGCTAAACAGAGAACGATTGACCTTCTGTTGGGTCGATTGGCCAATCAAATGCCGGTTCACCTTTATGACCCTATGAATGATTTGGTCACTGAAGAACTCAATCGCCGTGCTTCTGAATACTCTTCCACCAAGCACATCCGTCTTTGGGTTGGTACATTCAACGTGAACGGTCGTGATGAAGGCCCCGGAACCGACCTTACGCCATGGCTTTTTCCTGAAGCCGATCCATCGAATGAAGATCCCGTCATCTTTGCCGTTGCATTCCAGGAGATTGTTGATCTAAGCCCCCAACAGATCATGTCCACTGATCCAAGTACCCGCAAGGTTTGGCAGAGAGCCGTGCAAGATTGTCTAAACAGACACACAAAGGCAAAGGGCACGGTCAAATATGTGCTGTTAAGGACGGGGCAGCTCGTGGGCGCTGCGCTAATGATCTACGTGAAATCAGATGCTCTAAAGGAAATCAAGAATGTCGAAGGTGCCGTCAAAAAGGCAAGTGAATATACATACATAATGTATTTCGGTTGCTAGTTCTTTTTGATAGAGTTAACATTTGAAACAGACGGGACTTTCGGGGATTGCTGGTAATAAAGGCGGCTGCGCCATTCGGTTTGAATTCTCCAATACCAGCATCTGCTTGGTAACCGCACATCTGGCAGCCGGCTTTGCAAACTACGACGAGCGAAACCGAGACTATGAAACAATCGATCGAGGCTTGCGGTTCCAAAAGAACCGAACAATCGCAGATCATGATGCAGTGATCTGGCTTGGAGATTTTAATTACCGTATTGGGCTAGGCAATCAGATCGTGAGAGATCTTCTAACGCAGCGTGATTATCAGAAGCTCTATGAAAATGACCAGGTGCCGTTCATGTTCCCTCGGCGATATCTGTTGAACTCTCCGCTGACCAGGTCGATAGTTAAATCTCCAAATGACTGCCGGGAGAGCCTTCCAGTTCTATTCCGAGGGCCCCATCGGGTTTGCCCCAACGTATAAATATGATATCGGGACTGACAACTACGACACCTCGTAAGTTTTCGTCAGACTCATCCCTCAAGGAGCTCGTTAACTCTCCCTACAGTGACAAGGCCCGTATACCCGCATGGTGTGATCGAGTGCTATGGCGAGGACGCAACCTGCGTCAAACCCAATACCAAGTAGCTGATCTTCGCGTATCGGATCATCGCCCCGTGTGGGCCACTTTTGATGGAGTAATTGACGTTGTTGATCATGCCCTCAAGGATAATCTGCGGCGTATGCTGTATGAAGACAAACAGCACGATGCTCTGTCCGAATCTATTCATCTTATGGATCTAGATGATGATGATGATGATGATGATGATGATGATGATAATTTACCACAGGGATCCATCGCACCTGGGCTACCACCTGCCAGTTCTGATCGAAGCAGGTGGTGGTTGGACAATGGTAACGTTGCCCAGCAACTTTTTTTATTATTATTATTCGGATACAGATCACAGCTAACCCGGACAAACAGGTGCACCGGGCAAAGCGACAATTCAACCACCGAGGGAAGGACTTGTTGCCAACATGCAGCGCAGATCCAACCCTTTCTCCACGGACTCCGAACCTGACTGGGTGCCAGCTGAAGGACTGACGAAGAAGACCGGCATTGACAGGAAGCCTGCACCGCCTCCCCGACGTGGTAGAACCCTGAACGGGCAGGAATCCCCAACACCTATAGATGCAAAGCCACCACTCACGGACAAAGCGCCCCCAGCGGTCCCCCGGAAGCCCATGTCACTCAGCTCACAACCATCCCCACGCACGCCAATGTCTGATGGATCATCCCACTCCATGTTCCCAAGTAATCCCGAGCAAGACCCTTTATCTCGCACGGTCAGGGGTGGGGTAGGTGCCCCCGATATCCTTGGCGATCCTATGGATGAACAAATTGCGTGGAAACCGCTTCTTCCCCAATGATTTAGGCGTATAACCTCATCGGCCAGTTTGGGATGCATTATCTCCATCTCTGTACAACTTCTGTCTGGTTTAGATGAGCCTTGAACAATTAAAAGGAGCGTTATTATGTATCTATCTATTGAGCCGCGTTATAGACCTGGGTCAGAGGGCCAAATACCTAGATCACGGGGCTCCACATGTACAGTTGAGGCTCATGTTTTTAATATGTTGCCTAAGACTACGATCTCGTAGGATTCTGACGGGCCATATAGTCCAATGAGCGCGTCTTGAACAACTCATTCGGCTTGAATCTTGGGCCGCGTGGGCATGGTTCCAGGCTCGCCGATCCCTACATTGGACTAGGATCTGGTGGATACGAATATGTATTGCCATGCCCATTTCCACTTATCGACCCAACTTCATGAGTCAACTTGACATCCGGCAGGCCATATCCAAGTAGGATTTCCATGTCCACTGAGATTGAACTCCATGGTAAATATAATCGTATTCCGTACGGGACACGTCGAGTTCCAGGATTTCTTGCTTTTTTTTTTTTTTTTTTTTCTCTCTCTTTTAATTCTTTGAAAAGCTCGCCATAATTGACATAAAACACCATACTAGACATCAACGTATGAAGATAGAGACAATCAACCTCTAAACTGCTCCTACCAGAACCAACGTGTAATAATTAGAATCTCCACGGCAAATCAACGAAAAACAAGAGTACCAAGCCGCACTAGATCAGTGTAGCTTGTGCTAAACAACTCCCCAGGACGTTAGTGGATATGTTTGGCTCAACCCAATATTCACAAATGTGTCATTAGATTTAAATAACGTGTCTTGTGACTAATCGACAAGAAATGCCCTATTTTCCGGGCAAGAAGGAGGCGGTATCCGGGCTCTCAGGAAGCAGCTGGACTAGCTAGAGATGGAAACCAGCTATGACCCCTTGAGCTCCTGGCATATATTATCCGTCCGAGACGAGGAGAATTGGAGGTCAAAGATGTAGGTTTGCCAGGGACTGCCCCATAGAATGATGCCTGGCCTACACAGTCGCTTTCCATCTAGCCCTCAAGGATCTTCTGGGGGTGCTAGGAGAAGGGCAGGCCGAGGGGGGTATTCAACTCCCCCCCCCCCCACGCAAGGTGAATAGGGTGTGGGATATCAGAAACAAGAGGGGGCCATGACTTAAAACCGTTTCCTCATGCTTCTCGTCTTTGCTCTGATCACTGGGGTGCTGGTTCATCCTTTTTTTCTGCCTTTGGGGCCTTTTTGGCTCGGGGAGGAGGACGACGGCCCATCATCCATGTCGCAAATGCAGGAGGGTCACCGGGTTTGCGCGGGGGCTTCTTGTTCCCTACAGATCAATAGGTCAATTCGGGGTTCATGGTGCGACGATTGCCTGGGCAAAGCCCACATACCTTCTTTCTTCTTCTCTGCAGGCTTGGGAGGTTCAGCTGGTGGTGGGTCGGCGGCTGGGGGTGGATCGGGCTCCTTGGGCTTTTCAGGAATTGGCCACATGTGCATCGTAATCGTCCAATCTGGCTCAACCACTGTTTCCCACACTTGTGGCAGGATAATGTCACCATTTGGTCCCACTAGATCGTAGTGCCCTTCGGCCACATGAGGCCCAATAACCTCGATATGGAGAAATGCCTGCTTAATCAGGTCCTCCATTCCCTATAAGTGAATATTGTCAGACAAACTGACACGGAGAGCAAGGAAATCCAGAGCAGACGATTGTCTTACCTGCCAGGTGCTACATAGCTCAAAGGGAAAGCTGAATTTCCTCCCAACAGCATCCTTGAATTTAATAGGCTTCTTCTTCTCCGGCGGAGGCACTTTGTTTTTGTTTTCTTCCTCCTCTTTGGCCTTGGCGGCTGCAGCGGCAGCGGCTGCGTTCGCTGCTTCCACAGCTTCCAGTGCCTTAGTGGCTGCATCTTGGGCCGCCTGCGCCGAGTCCTCTTTGGCTTTCGCCGCAGCTTCTGCGGCTGCTTTCTCTGCCTCCTCCTTTGCCTTGGCCGCCTCGGTCGCTGCGCGCTGCTCAGCGTCTGCGCGCGCCAACGCTGCTGCTTCTGAAGCTGCCACCTGTGCGATCGCTTGGTCATGAGCAAGCTGCTTTTCTCGCGCAATTCTTTCCGCCTCCTCGGCCGCGATAGCTGCTAGACGAGCCGCTTCCCTGTTCTCACGCTCCGTGCGATCATCCAGAATCAATTTCTCTAGTCGTGCAATGGCCTCATCTTTTGCAGCATCCTTGGCGGCCTCTTGAGCTGCTGCTCCTTTGGCTGCGTCATCCGCAGGGGGAGGAGCAGTAGGCGTTTTCGACTCTGGTTGGATTGGGGATGGTACTTGTGGCGGGTACGGAAAATAGGACGGGGGCATCATTCCTTGAAACATTGCATAAGGGTCCCGGAAGTTGTTGTAAAAGCCATTATGGGGGTAGGGCATTATCTCGTGGTGGAATGGAGCCGCACCGAAGGGCGACGGCATACCATGGGGAGCCATATGAGGGGGTAATGGTTGATGGGTGTGAGGGTCGATGCGGGATTGGGGTGGCTGTTGAGGATGTCTTGCATGTGCTTGGTCCGGGAAGTAGGGATGCAGTGGGGGAGCACCATGGGGTGGGCCGTATGGGTAGGCCGAACCGTATGGCTGGCCATTTGGATTACCATGACCAAGTCGGATGAGCTGGTCCGACAAAGGCGGAGGGTTCTGGTGGGGGAAGGGACCATGGCCCTGGGGATATTGGTGGTTATAGGAAGGGCCCGAGGAAACACTTTGTGGATAGCCCGAGGCTTGTTGCCCGGCCCATCGCCGCTCATGAGGGTTGCGCGGGTAATGACCGGCAAGTTCCTCCGAGTCTGCACTACCCGGCGACTCTGGAGAGGGTTGGCGACGGGCCCGTGAGCCATAATCACGATCGCGATCGGGAATCATTTGAGGGTGTGGTTGGCGACGGCCCGAAGCCGAGCGCGAACCGTGGAGCGAGCGGTTGCGATTCGAGGTCCTTGGTCGAGAGGCTGAATCAGACGGTTTCAATTCGGATGGATATGGCAGATGCGCCCACTCATCATAATCCGGATATTCATGACTCCCATCAGAGAGGAGAGAGAATTGTCCACCTGAGGAGCCCTCGTCCTCCGACAGAGAGTGATCCGAGTCGTGCGGATCAGCGGGGTCAATATGAATGCTGACCCTAGATCGGGGTGGAAATGGTCAGTCCAAACATTAGAGACATAGATTTTAGGATCTTTAGTTTTATGTTGTTCTTTCTGTCAAGAACAGGTGGAGGGGTTGTAAGGGGAGGTGGGATGAGAAGGGAGAAGAATGGGGGGGGGGAAGGTAGGAAAGAGGAAAAGCAGCAAGGGAAAAGGAATCAAAACATACGTCATAGAGACTTGAGCCTCTTGGGGCGGGAAGAGAAAAGTATATATGTGAAGGACGAGAGTCAAGGTCAGGGGAGGAGTGAAGGGGGGGGGGGGAGGGTGTAGAGAGGAAGAGAGTTAAAGAAATAAAGAATAGTATCAAATTCCCCCAAAACGTAGGTATTTTTGGTTTTGGTTTTGGGTTTTCAATTGGGTTCCCCCTCCCTTGCGCCAGACCGTACAAAGTCTATATAGATTCGTCAACATCCCCAAACTATCCATTAGTTGCCTAATGACACTTCTAATTGGGGGAATCATGGTTGGGCACTCTGGAACTGACATTGAGAAGTACTATGATTTGACTCCATGCAAAGCGCTGCCCGAAAATGCCCAATCATGACCCACCTTGAAAATTTCATGGATCGAACGCTCCAGAAATGCATGGGGAGACGAGTCATACCAAGCCTGCAGATGTGGATCCAAGATCAGCAGGGGGGGGGGGTGTTAGAATGCAGAATATAAAGTATACGAGATCAAAATCAAAACAATGCCAGGGTCATCTCGGTCCTACGTTTTACATACACGTACGGGGATCGTGACGATAGTCACATTCATTATAGAGGAGAAAAACCAAATTGAGAAAAAAAAAAAAAAAAAAAAAAAAAAAAACCAAGAAAACAGGGGTATATCCAACTCAGGCGGAACAACATTACACCCAGGTAATTATCAAGTTGACTGAAAGCGATTCAATAAGGCTTTGGCGGCAATGAGCTCACTGCGGCTGGATGCCCAATGTTGATCATCAACCGACCGGGACTGAACAATTTCCTGGAGTCGCTGAAGAGCAAAGCGCCGCAGTCGGTCGATGGTCGTCTTCGGTACTACCACCGAATGTTCCAAGTCGTTCTCCAGCATGCGAGAGGAGGCCTGGAACTTGGTCAGATGGGTCATCAATAAAGAGGGATGAGAAAGGAAAAACATCGCCACCGGTAGCACGATCACAAACATACCAAAGCCAATCCATAAAATCCGCGTAGGTAATCATCACAGAGCTCGATGCTTCGACAGAAATGCTGGATCGACTTGCTGGCTAGCTGGCCCCCATCGGGTGAGGATGTATTGATATAGAGTACTTCGCCCAACCGGGCATGGATCTACATGAGGGTTAGCCGCGTCCAAAAGGGAAGTAGGAGGGTGAAGGCGTACATTCCATGCATTAGGAGCGATAAGAAGAGCCTCCTCGAGGCTGAAGATGGCTTGTGCACCCAGCCCCTGAGACTGGTAGAGGTCGGCGAGTTCGCACCAAGCTTCCGCATCAGTGGGAATGGCATCGAGGAGCTGAATGAGAGCCGTGATTGCATCGGCAGGCCGGTGGAGCGAGCGTAGCAAAGCGACTCGGCGCTTTAGGATGGGCTAAGACAGTCAACGCTGATATTCAGCAGCCGCCGGGGGGGGGAGTTCAGCAGAGCATACCACATTGACCGCATTGTCCCCAAGAATTGTTTCGTATTCATTCAGGCATTTTTCCAGGGCAGAGGTATCTTTAGCAGTCGCCTCCTGGTAAAGGCCACGGAGCCCCATGACCCTCTCATTGGAAGCACCAAACCGGGAGCTTAACCGATCGAGACAGGCCTGGGCAGATAAATCATCACCCGTCCGTAGACAGGCAAGGAAGAGCTGTTCGACCCGCCCATATTCTTCTGCAGTATCTGCGTAGGACGAAGTGGTAGACGTGGTTTTAGAGGGATCGTGACCGAGAATTGCTGGTGCTTGCTGGGAAAGATGAAGAGCAGAGATTAGATCGGATCCATTGATGTCCCGGGAATCAATAGAAGCCCCCATGGTGTTTCAAGGGCGAGATAGACCAGATGTAGAAAAGAGAGACTGGTTTCGGGTTCACAGCGTGAAGGTAATGGTCGTCTGGAGAGGTGTGGAGACCTGGCAGCGCGCGGAGCCTGGAACACGATCCCGTGATGCTTATCCCCCACGTCTGTTCATCAATTAACAACGGATTCCAGCTCGAACCTTCATCCAGCTCCCAGGGGCGATTCAAAAGGGTCATGCTACCGGGAGATAGTGGACTGTGTATTGAATTTTTTTTCCCTTATTTCCTGATTTCTTCTTCCTCACCGTGAGAGCGAGAGGTCAACGCGATGTCGGTGGTGCCCATGACGAAACCAGCTAGACGGCGGAACTGACCCGCGCATGCTAGGTTTGAAAAATCGCTCTATGACCTGATCAAAGGTCTTCGAAACCACAAAGGGGGAGAGGATGAGTACGTTCAAGCCTGTCTACGCGAATGCAAGGCGGAAATCAAGTTACAGGACATCGGTAGGTCTCTGCATTGACATCACGATGAGGGATGAGGGATGAGATGTTGACTCTGGGCAGACAAGAAGGCAACGGCACTTCTGAAGCTTATCTACCTGGAGATGTTTGGCTATGATATGTCATGGGCATCATTCCATGTTCTGGAGGTCATGTCCTCCACGAAGTACCTACAGAAACGAGTGGGATATCTTGGGGCCGTTCAAAGTTTCCGGCCAGATACCGAAGTTCTAATGCTGGCGACCAACATGTTGAAGAAGGTCTGTTACCCAGCTAGCGCAGCACATGCCATATTTCTCTATCTGCGAACTTGATCATAAGGATTCTAATATCCCCGGTCCCAGGACATTGTATCCCCTAATATCCTCACCCTGTCACTCCCGCTGGCTACTCTACCACATATCATGACACCAGCTCTTGCTATGTCCTTACTTCCTGACATTTTGTCTCGCCTCTCCCATTCGAGCGCCGTTGTCCGGAAGAAGTCCATTGTGTGTCTCTACCGGCTGGCTCTAGTTTATCCGGATGCCCTGAGGCTAGCGTGGCCGAAGATTCAGGACCATCTCATGGATGGACAGGAAGATAGCAGCGTGACTACTGCAGCTATTAACGTCGTCTGTGAGCTTGGTTGGAGACGGCCGCACGATTTTCTTCCTTTGGCTCCCAGGTTCTTTGAGCTCCTCGTGGACAGTGGCAATAACTGGATGGCCATAAAAATCATCAAGCTGGTTTGTGAGCCTTTATGCCAGTCTATAAAAAAATCCGAACTAATCCAAGGCAGTTTGCCACTCTAACCCCTCTAGAACCGCGACTCACACGCAAGCTTCTTCGGCCATTGACAAATATCATTCAGACCACAACGGCAATGTCCTTGCTCTACGAGTGCATCAATGGTATCATTCAAGGGGGCATTCTAGATGGCGAGGACAATATCCATGAAAGGGACGAAGTTGCGGCTCTGTGCATCGGAAAGCTGAGGGGAATGATTGTCATGGATTCGGATCCTAATCGTGAGTGGGCCTTCCACCTCTTGTCTCTGGGAACTTGACGAATACCTAACCTCTTTGGAAAAAAGTGAAATACGTGGCTCTTCTGGCATTGAATCGCATTGTGACAACTCATTCTACATTGGTTTCCATGCAACAGGATGTCATCATGGACTGTCTGGACGATCTAGACGTTTCCATTCGACTCCAAGCCTTAGAACTTGCTGCTGGTATGGTCACCAGTGAAAATCTTCAGGAAGTCGTGAATCGTCTTTTTAGCCAGCTTCAATTGGCCTCTTCACAAGATAATCCCGGTCCTGGGGAAGCGTCTGTTCCGTATGAGGATGAACACGAAAATTGGAAAGGCTCACATGGCGTCATGGAGGCCCTCAACATGCCAAATAACTATCGGTCCGAGGTTATTCATCGCATTTTAGATATCTGTTCCCAGAACAACTATTCCGACGTCGTCGACTTCGAATGGTATGTTGGCATTTTGGTTCAGCTGATTAGGCTTCTTCCGCCATCAGAAGTGCACGACTACGGACCCGACCACCCCTCAATGGGAGGTCAAGAGGGCTGGAGGGCTTCTGTCGCGTCTCGGATCGGATCCGAAATTCGCAGTGTTGCTGTTCGTGTGAAGGGGGGTTCGCCTGGAAGCTACCCGGGCGGCGGAGTCTCTGCTGCTTATCGATAACAGATCGATGCTATTCCCCGCCTCTTCAAATGTTGGGGACGACGTTTTAGGACCTGTTGCATGGGTAGTTGGAGAATATGCGGGTCATCTCCAGTCACCGAGCCGAACTCTTCAATCTTTGATTGATTCGTCTACCCTCTCCTTGCCTCCCAGTACACTCCAGCTGTTCTTACAGGCCACCCCCAAGGTCTTGATACAAGTGAATCAGTCCTGTGGGACAAAGGAGGCATGGAGAAGTGAGATTTCTCTTCTCTTAGCGCGGGTTGTGGATTTCCTCGATGCACTAGCCGCTCACCCGGACTTGGACGTGCAGGAACGAGCCATTGAGTTTCTTGAAGTCCTTCGTTTAGGGGCCGAGTCGCTACAATCTGAAACGGAAGGAGTTCCATTCCTTCTAGCTTCTGTTATCCCCGACTTATTCGCCGGTTTGGAACTCAACCCTGTTGCAGCCAGCGCCCAAAAACGGGTAGTGTTTCCCCCTGATCTTCACCTGGATGAAGCATTCAACGATGATCTGCCAGGCCTGTTTCAGGAATTGGGGGGCTCGCTAGCGGAAACCACCCAGCATCATCTCATTCAACAATTTTACCACGTCGCCGATATCAGTCCACCCTCCCATAAGCCGCCTCATGAACAAATGACAGCGGCAGAAATCCAACTTGATGCGTCCTACCAGAGCAGCCTCGGCATCGCGTTGGATCACCCAGACACTATAGAAAGGAGAAAGGGATACCGGAAAGAGCGCTATCGGGACGATCCCTTTTACATTGCTCCGTTGGACCCATCATGGGGTACGTCCACCCCGCACCATGATGCCCCACATGTTTCCAGTGGCGACGCATTGGACATCGATTCAATCCCCATCGTTGATTTGAAGCTGGATGACGAGTCGATCAGGCGAGGTAAACGTGATACCTTTGGAAACCGCCGGGTGCATACTACCGCCAAAATGGAAGTTGCAGCGGACGAAACTTTTGGGTCTGAAGGGCCTGTGCCCCTTGGTCACTCCGCTAAGGCCGTTGTGGGCCCAGCTGTAAAACGCTCGCTACTACAGGTTGACTCCAGTGGGCTCGGGCATTCTGCATCGGGGGCGAATGATGGTCCAAGCCCTAGCTTGACCGGGGGTGAGGAGGAGACCGAAATGAGGAAAGCGATGCAAAATGTGGAGCAGATGCGCCTGCGCATGCAACGGGCATCCGAGCGAATCGAGTTAGAGGGAACACCTGCCGAGGGCACTCTTGTGAAGAAGAAGAAAAAGAAGGGGAAGAAGGGCGCTGATCCGTCCGGAGAAACGAAAAGGAAGAAGAGGAAAGAAGCATATGAATGAATCACATCTCATTCATGTTTGCTTTCGATAGAAATGCAAGATAGTTTAAGTAATTGCGATATAACACAGGACCCCAACTTTCCCAAGGTAGGGCAGTAGCATCCATCTATCTGGTGCCCTCGTAGGCGATCCTAACCACGGGTATCACTTGTTGGGCGGTCTTCTGTGGCAAGGGCACCAACGTCAAGGCTATGGGGCGACGTAGACTTAACACCAGTCTCAACATTCGGGGTATTTTAAAGTATTCGGGAGGTTAGCGTAGCTAACCAGTGACGCGAGATATGGTTGAGGCCACGATTGACCAGATCTCGGGGACAACCTTGAGGAGCTCCAAGATAAGTCCACCACAGACGACAAAGGCCAGAATCACTAGGCTTCTTAGCTCGTAGATCGAGGAGAGGGGTGGCAGAGGTTACATACCTAACCAGCTCGCCGAGATGGGGGTCTTTGTGGTTTGTTTGGGTTTTGTGGTTACCGGCCCTTTCCCTCGTTTGGCGGCCTCGTGCTTTGCGAACCGGTCGTTCGCACGTCGCTGTTGAGGTGTCTGTGCCTGTGCACGGTATTTTGGATTAGCAAGTTCTCGGAAAGATATCAGGATTGAGGTAGAGCTAGAGATACTCACCATGATTATTGATACGGAGTGTTGGAAGGAGTTAAGGGGAGGGCGAGGTTATCGCCGTAGATAAACTTCCCCAGGTTAAGGCCACGTTGTATTTTGGTACGTCTCGTCCTTGGCCTTGACCACGTCCATTTAATCTATTTTTACATATAGGCTTTCAGGCCCCTTAATTTAATGTAATTTAATGAAGGGGTCTACCTAAAATTTATATAACCAAAGGAAATTCGGAGTATCTGGTAATATTCCTGATCGACCAGTCTTGGTATTAGTACGAAGTATCACGTAGATTCATTACCGGGGATATGAACCCGTGATCCAAAATCCATATCTTCCTCATTCTCCCTTTCTGTGGCAAAACATCTTCCTAGATGTCATGTCTTTCATAAGATCATGGAGCACCTTCGATATGCAACAGGAGATGATCTGCGGTAATTATCAGAATCAGTATGTGACGTTTCATTCTGCAATATAAATCACTAATCGAAACGATCTAGAGACGAAATAAAATTATCCTCGAATTGATGCCCTTGGTGCATGCTCTAGTCTATTTAGTACTTAGTCGTGCCATGAGTTCGAGGTTATTACTTCAAATATCACAAGTGGTGAATTTTTAAGAATTTTGCCTTCTCTTTATGTTTTAATTATGAATGTTAGATCATATCATCAATCTATTGTAGATTTAAGTAGTACTTGTAATTGACTTTTTGAAAAGGTTACAAGATACTCATTACAATATTAATAATTGATTAAATTTAAGCGATTTTATTATTGATTTCCAATATCATTTACAAATGACAGATATAGTATATAATATAAGTTTATTAACGTAGTGTAATAAATTGTTATATAATAATAAATGATGAATAAGGATTTTAAATTTCTTATTCGCAAGTGTATATAATAAAATGAATACTGATTAATTCAATTTACAAGCAGCTAAAATTATAGGAAGAGGCATGGCTACAACCGGATGAATAGGAGCAGGTATAGGTAACGTAACCGGTAACGTAATTCACCCCCAAGCGAGCCACCCCCCCATCCGAGCCACCCCATCAACTTTCGATAATTCAAATTAACGTAATTCAACCAAAACAACGTAATATTAAATATATAAGCTATTTAGCTAAATTTGGACAATATGTTATCTTATGCCCCTGAATACCGCATTTAGAGCATTTTAGTGGCGCCCTAGATCATCGTCCTTATGCTCCTGGTTGACCGGTCGGCTCACTATTTTAAGGTTTAAATCGAGCTTTTCTAGCAATTTTTGCTAGCTCTTTAAGCTTAGCGACGGATACACCCTCTAGATAAGCTATCTAGAGCTTAGACGTTGCTTTTTTTTGCTTAATTTTCTCGTTTCTAGCACGTAAAAGCTCGTTTTCTCGAGCAAGAAAAGCGGTTAATTACATCGTGATTTAATAAGCTTTTAGCACCTAATCTATAGCGGAATTTAATAGACTTAGAGGGCTCCTAGAGCGTTAATTTAAGAGCTTTTTAATTAAGGAAGCTTACTTCTAGAGCTACTTATAATTTAATAGTGTCTTAGGCTCCTATACGCTACTTTCGCTTCCTCGAGATAGTAGTAGGGTAGGCGTATAAAGTTAAATATTAAGCTTTAAAATCACTCGATTTAGATTATATAGGACTAATCTAGTTACTAAGAAGCTATTTCTAATCGTTTCTACTTTAAAAGCCTCGTTTCGAGCGATTAGAAAAGCATTAAGAAAGTCTAATTTATTAATATGATTTTAACCTATCTATATAACGTTTTTAACGCATTTCCTATACACACGCTTTAAGATAGTAAAATAACCTACATTAAGAGGTTATAAAAGATATAAAGAGTGCGCTAGCATATAAATTAGAATCACGTCGTTTTAATAGTAAATTTCGTCGAATTTTAGAGTTAAATAGCTTCTATAACTATCGAGAACTAGAAGTCGATATTTCCCCTTTATCCTTAAGAAAGTTAATAGAAGAAAGATCTTTTAAAGCTAACGAAGTCTAATCTTATCTAAGGTCTATCTATTTAGACTAACCTTAAATTACTAGTTATCTAGAAGGCCTATAGTCTAACCTTCGTTAAAGAGTTTAGCTTTAAATATCACCATTAGAGGAAGGCTATATCTAGACGCGCCTATATACTTAATTAAGGTTACCTATTCACGATTCCCGGGCTATAAACGAGCTCGCCGACTATAATATTTAGCTCTCGTTATAACCTTTATAGTCGCGGTTAAGCCTATTATAAAGCCTATCTTATTAAAGTTATATATATCATCTTCGTGGATCCTATACTTAGATATTATCTATTGAACTAGGTTAAACTATTCTTTAATGATTTCTAGGTCCTCGTACTTAGCGCGCTTATAATTATAGCGTCTTAAGAACCTAGTCACGAGCTCTAGGTAATGTTTAATAAATTTTATAACCTAATTTTTACTAACTATTTAAATCGGGGTCATTCCACGTGTCGCTAGTAAGAGATTAGCTATTTCTTATACCATAGAAGGTTATAGGGCCGCTCTATATATATCTATAGAGATTATCTATTTATTAAGCGAATTCTCCTCGATTTTAGTTAATTTAAACGTTTTAACGCGTGATTTAACGTGATTTTAACGTCCATTAAGACGGAATTAGAGCGTTATGCGAGGGATATCATATATAAGCGCTACTTAACGAATTATCAATTTTTCCTACTTTTTAATAGCCTAGATAGCAAGCAGAATCCGACCCTCTTTTTAAGTCAAATTTTGACGATTTTAAGAGCGAATTAGGGGCATGGTGGTTAGTTAAAGAAGGGTAAGACTAATTAATTAACGCGTTTTGGTCAGGGTGGCTTAGATAGGGGGTGGCTCGCTTAGGGGTGAATTACGTTAAGCGAGCTACGCATGTAAGCCAGCTACGCAGCTAGAACACCATAGTAAATGCGAAAAATTACAACTCAGTATCTCGATAATGAATATATGAAATAACTTTTCCTTAAGATACAATAATTTTCATGCCATGTTAAGCTAATAAAGGGTATTTGTATTTAAGAATTATTATACCTTATTTAGGTGGTAAATACCAAAGATGTATAGATTGAGGATTATAATTAACGTAATTTTTGAAATCATGATAATGGAGCTTTTGAATTTCCTTAAAATCAATACATTATGTCGAGTAGTCTTATTGAAGACAGCCTATACATAATCAAATAAAAAAGGCTCGTGGGTGATGAGATATGAAGTTGTAATTTATCGCATTTACTATGGTGTTCCAGCTGCGCAGCTGGCTTACATGCGCAGCTCGCTTACCGGTTACGTTATTGGTGTTATACTCGGAGCAGTTATACTAGGTGTAGCTAGAAATTCCTCATTAAGAGGACAATTGTTTTCGTATGCTATCTTAGGATTTGGGACACCAACGAAAAGGACGTATAGAATCTACCTACCCCGGGCCTACCACTTTTCGATAATAACAATCTAGTGGTAGAGGTTCTTTGAAGGAGACGATTAACTAACTTAATATCTATTATCTTCTAGACACTTAGATAGAAAACGTTAGGAATTATAGGATAAGTAAGCGACTGTAGAGTTACTACCTTTATAGAGTAGATAGCGGTTAGAAGATAGGATTATAGAAAAATATTAGAATGCTAAGCTATAATAATAAAGATTCATATAGTTCAACTTATCTATAGATCTTAGAGTATATTAAGATTTCTATCTATCTTATATTAATATAAATTTAATATATAATAAGAGACTAAAGATATACACCCTAGGCTTAAAACTAAGATATAATTTATTAATTAGTTATATAGACTCTATAATAATTAGATAGTTATAGATATATAAATTAAATTGTTTAATTAGATGACTTTAGTTAATAGTAAATATTTTAGCTCCTTCTAAGTTACCCTGGAGTCTATAGTATTAAAATATTACCTAACCCTTATTATAAGAGAACTACGAGAGTCTTAATCTTTAGATAATAGTATATAGTAGCCTGCCTTAGAATAATCTATTTAAGTCCTCCTTAGCGGGGTATAGATTTAAGTATAAGTTATCTATAGCCCTTTCTTATTTTATATAATATATTATCTATATCTAGTCCTAGTTCTTTGATATAGATTTTACTTAGTAGGACAATCTCCTATATATAAGGGTCTAGGAAGTCCTTACTATAAAAATAAGATCCTTAATCCTAATATATAAGAATCCTTATATAGGTATTATCTATTTACTATCACTTTTATTAATCTTTTTTTTTAAATCCTATATACTATATAAAGCTTACTAGGTCTTAAACTCAGTATATCAGAATTATTTTAATTATATATTGATAAATTCTTTTTTACTTTTCCTTAGTAATTTGAACTTTATAACCTAAGCCAAGAAAGTTTTTAAGGATTTTATAAATTTTAAATTATAATAGAAGATTAATTTTATAGATTAAATAAGATAATAGCGCTAAAGAAGATATAAAGAAGCTATAACTTATAAGATAGGAAATTCTATATAAGCTATATTATAATCTATAATCTAAATCTATAAATCTTATAGGTAGGCTAATCTAATCTACAACTTAATATATAAACTATAAGTAGGGTTATAAGTTATCTACACTAACTTATCTTTATATAAAACTTTAAAAAAAACTATTCTTAAATAGGGTAAATTTACTTATTTATTGATATTCTAGTGTTATACATAGATTTCTAATTATTCTATTATGATTCTTCTAGATTTTAATGAAGATATCTTATATATTATATATAAGTATAGTAATAGTAATTTACTAGATATAAGATATATCTTAAGTAGATTACATTTATATCTAAGGGTTACTATATAGAAAATAGATATTAATTAAGCAAATATAATTTAAATATATAATTAATAAAGTATATTTTCGAAAGGCTATATAAATCTCTCTATTATATTATACCTAAATATATTTTATTATTTTGATGTTTTAAATCAAATTATAAATACAATACTCTTCTAGATCTAGCC